CGTTGCTTTTTTGTTCACATGAGATCATTTATACAAATTTTATATTTGTTTTTTTAAAGAAAATATTGTAAGTTAGCTTAGACTTAGCTTGTACTTATAAGTCCAAGCTAAGTCCAAGCTAAGTCTAAGCTAAGTCCAAGCTAAGTTTGTCTTAGCTAAGTCCAAGCTAAGTCAAAGCTACATACTTATAAGTACTTATAAGTCTAAGTTAGACTTAGCTCAGCCTAGCTAGCCAGGGGGCGGGCAAGTATGGGCAAACAATCATCCACACATTTCTTGTAGGAGATCTACCAATCAAATATGATGAACACATCAAGTGTTCTCTGGATTCACCAAGCTGGATACACTCATGTTCTTAACTAACAAAATCAAGCTGGATATACTCCCACTAAACAACCCACATGGCTCCGACCTACGTAAAGCACCTGTTGTGCCGCCTGTTCGTCGACACATCAACACGCGAGCTGCGGCTCGCCGCGGCGCGCCGGCCTCCGACGGATCCATGGCGCCTGGTGGCTTTTCAGTGAGCGGAAGACCGTGAACACCGGCCCAACCAACGGGTCCCTGAAAACCCCCTCCAGATGAGGGTCCAAGGGTTGCGTCTGGACTTCAAAACATCTTCCCGACCTATAGAAGGGGATCCTAGCCAGTTGGGGAAAATTCAACAATACATCACCTGATTCCAAAGAAACCAGTGTGATCACTTGCGTCTCGGAATCAACATAAAACATCGAAGGTCACTTGGTCACTTACGTCTCGCATTCTGTGGGATTTGGGATGGGTTGTGAGGTGGTTGGGGGCGCGGGATGTGGTGGGTTTAGGGTTTGGGTCGGGTTTTTTGAGCTTGGAGACCGTGAACACGTTTGACTCGTGAACACCATGTCTTCCGGTGTTGAGGTGGGGCGGGGTAGTGTTTGGTTTAATGTTCACTAGGACTACTGCAACTCATACCAAACACACACGACATGAGTGTTACATGACTGTTTTTGCATACTATGGCATAACTTTTGCATGTATATATTATATACTCCGGTTCAGCCACTCCAGGTGATTGGAAAATGATGCCATTCCCATCGGCACCGTGCGTGGGCATGATAAGAGTCGCCCCCCTTTCTTGATGTTCTTCCATCCCAGAGCGGCGCTTTCACGTCCCACCGTGAAACAGGTGAAAAGGTACGACCAGACCCGACTACCACGGTAGCACCGTTGAACACACCAGCGGACCGGACAAAGGGTGGCAGTGGATCCATAAAGGGAACATGATCCAACTGCCACTGGCCACCCTCTTTTCGAGATGTTCTCCAAACATGGATGTGAACAAATTTGCGGATGAGAACATGTCCGGATGCCAAACAAACAGTTGGGATGTGTTCCCATCGGGAACAAATGCTGTTCTCCAAAGCAACATTTGTATATATCAAGTCCCACCGTCCTGCGCTTTTCAGCATCCCTCCAGCGCACACAAACACGCACACAACATGGCATAGCTTTTGCATGGCACATACTCATAATTGCTGATTCTGTGGTTCGGCGACTTCTGAAGCTCCCCACCACTTCTTTGGGTGACATGATTTGTGCCATCTATTCAGATTCATTTCTGAATCTCCCACAAAAGTATGAACCGCATTGAACATTGTTCATTGGCCTTTCAACCAAAACATGGGTGCCAGTAGCGCAGGCCCGTCCTGCTGCGAAGGAGCCTTCGTCGCAGAGAGCTGACACACCGCCCGCGCCCGCTTGCGTATATAGGTCAACCCGCTTGCGTATATAGTTCTTTTAACAAAGCTTGGTTGGCTTGCAATGAATCCGTCTGGGCCATCTGGGTTCATGTATGTTCTCCATCTGCAGCTCCGATGACTGCATCAGTTCAGTCTTGAGGCTCTGAGATGTCTTGAGGCTAGCGAGATGCAGAACATGCATGGGTTAGCAGTAGACCAACCCAGTCCACTTTGGTTAGGAGACATGACACAGGACTACAAGTAAGAGACAGTAAGGTCAAATGCACATCTCAAAAACGATCCTTCCTTCAACTGCTTGATGTTCTCTTGCTTGCTTGTTTGCTTATTGGCCCCCTTTTTCTTACTTCCATCCTCCTGATCTGTGGGCGCACAGCGCTTTTGGCTCTTTGCCTCGGCGGCAGTTCTTTCCGCCGCGTGCGGCAAGGTCTCCGGCAAGGTCCGGAAGGAATCCCAACAAGGACCTTTTGGGGTTCCAACAACATGTTTTGGGGTTCTTGTCATCCCAGACAACAATACTGCACACGTTTTGTTGGAAAAGTCAAGACACCTCGCAAAATCTCAGACTTCTTTGCCAGACTTCTGGCATCGACCAGTCTTGCAGTCCAAAAACGACAAGCTGAAAAGGATGACACCTCGTGGGGTCTCCTTGGACACGTCAGCTGTGAAGCGTCGTCCCCGTCTCCTGAGCAGTGAGAATTGGCGTCTGTATCTCATGCAAGGAGACACGGCCAGTTCTTGGCCCACCTCCGTACCCGTCCCAGTAGCTTCTTGTTCCGATAGTAGCGATGGCCTCCAACCTAGTAGCGATGGCCTCCAACCTAGTCGCATCCTTGCTAGTAGTCGTAAAGGCCCACCCCGCGTACCCGCCCCTTTCTGAAATGGTTTCCATCCTCAGCACTGCGAAGTTGGCCTCCTCCAGCCGGAGACCTCCGAAGACCTCCCGGGCTCGGGACAAGACGGATGCCCCAGGAGGTCTGGGGAGAGTGGAGGAGTTGAGGTCTAGGGGGTTCTGGTGGTGACTTGCTGGAGGGAAGCTTCTGAATAGTGGCAATGTGATCATCCTTGTCATCTTTTACAAACCTCCATCGAAAACTGGTCAAGCGTGGATGCATGTTGATCATGTTGACATGCTGGTGGCGCAGGGAAAAACATATCAAACAACATGAAACATAGTCAATAGTCTATAGACCATCCAACACTTCCCAAATTGACCAACAGACTAAGTTGTGGGCTTCCAGTTTTTGGGCCGTATTTGCGTCCCACTGTAGTTCAGGGATCAGCCGCGCTGCTGAAGTTGCAAAATGGATTTTCAAGTGAATGCCGAGTTGCTCGTGTCACGAATCAAAAGGCTCCTACTTCCCAATCATATTGTCCAAAAACATGATATCAAACCTCTTGGTTCCCTGTCCATTTTCGTTCAGTTGGTCCATTTCGGTCCATATCGGAACCTCTGGAGCTAGGCCAGTGTCAGCCTGCTCCAGCTCAACCCCCTTAGTTTGCTCCAGCTTGATCGGTTTCCCACCGCCCGGGCCGAGATCTGCACGCCTTCCCGAGCGGCGGTCCACGAGCGGCGGTCCATGAGCGGGCCTTCCTTCGTCTCAGGGTCGACCTTCGTGGTTTCGACGACCTGGCCAGCTCGTTGTGTGTGAAGAGGTACCACCAAACACTGGGACTTGCGAGTGCACCTGTCCCAAAGTCTGAGTTGCAGGGATGGTTGCGCGATCTGAACCAGTTACATGTTCAGGATCTGTTAATCATTACAATTACAATTGCCACTCCCAACAAAATGAGAAACTGGTGTGGCAGCCAGAGATTGGGAAAACATGGGAAAACATGAAACCGAGTGTTGTTAGCACAGCTGCATGATTTAAGCAACGAATGATCCGCATATACCCGCATCTTTTGTCCGGTGACCCCATGAGTTGGCGCAAACCGCGTTCTTCCAGGTCGTGATGGTGAGACTTTGCGTTGTAGGCGGTCCACCTTGGCTCCACTGGGACCTGTTATTTTTCTCGAACTCAAAAGCACACTGGGCCGCATGAAAATGCCTGGTGTCGCAATAAACGGATGTGCAAATGTGCTGATGTGCTTCTTCAACCGAATATATTGGTGAAGCGTTCTTCTGCTTCAGCAGGTTCCAGTAAAACCATAAAACCAGTGAAACTGAACTTGGTGAAATGAATCTCAAACTTGTTTCGACAATGCAGAGTCAAGGGCAATAACATTCTCACAACTCCGAATGAAGTTCTTTTTGTACCAACGTGGGCTGCACATCATCCACTGCGATCCCTTCTTCATCTGATGGCTGAATAAAGGGAGACACATCCATCTCTATGTATGGATATCCCTTCCTATCGAGCCAGGCTACTTCGGCTCGCTGGGAATCGCCCAATCCCTCTGAATCCTCCAAGACCTTGCGATCTTCTGCTGACAACCACCCCAGGAAAAGCCGTTGTTTCTCTCGACTCTGTTGGGAAGAGCCATCATAGCGTTTCATGTCAGAAAGCCTCACCAAACCAGCTTGCTTAGCATCTTCAAATTCATTGGATTTTTCAAAGTCCTTCATCTTCACTCGCACTTTCTCTCTGCTGAAATTTTCTTGGCCGACGCTCGCGAAGCTTGCTGCCTTTCCTCTACCACGAAATCCTTCCCGAAAATACACGTGGAGGTTGGCACCGCACTCCATGGCTCTGTGGATGTTCTGAATCCATATTGCAAACCACTTGCAGCCTGACGGCCTCCTTTCGCCATAGAGTGCCCAGCACCAGCATTCCCCCTGTAGCCCTTCCTCTTTCGGGATTGGGCTGTGTTCGCCGGAGCACTGAGTGACCTTGGGTGGGAAAACCATTGCTGCACTTGTTTGCTGACCGTGGGCGTGCCTGACCAATCGCCGCCGGGCTGTTTCATAGATGCCGGGCCAAGAGGCAACACACGCTGTGCCAGGCCTCAATGGTGAAGAGGTGTTGTTTGCATAGGGTTGGTCAGCACTGGTTCTACGCACTATACTGAATTATCAGAATATGTTCAGACACTATATATACTATACTAGACCAAATTAATGGACGTCCTGCACGTCCTGCAGGCAGAAGTAGAGAGAGAGAGAGAGATGTGTGTGTGTGTGTCGCCCCCTGGACAAAGGGTTTCCTTTCAAGTTCCATGACCTCCACTCTCACCAGCAGGGGGACTGTCTACCCCACAGAAGTGACAGTCCAACGAAGAGGCTTCTGTGGCGGTACTGATATCAGTTCCGGACGCGGAACTGACGTACCTGCTTTCAACACATTGACTCCACTGGTCCACCCTGCCGCTGTTCGTTGTTTTCATGGTCCTTCTTCATGCTACCTTCCCCACAAACCGGTTTTTCCACTGCACTTCTTGGCCGATCGTGAGTTGCAGCCAGCCGCCGACTGCAGACTTGCACCTGCGGAAACATGTTTAAACAATACTGTTTGGACCGACTCATGCGCCTTGCCGTTCCCTCACCATTTTCCCAACGTGGTAACTGAGTCACTGAAAACCAATGTCGAAGTGTGTTTCGCTCAGCCGTCCCACTCGGGTGCTGAGTGTGATCCCCGTCACAGGGGCGCTGTCTCATCGTGCAAGCATTAACTGACCTCACCACTCTTCACGGGAATTCCACCGGAAGTCACCGACACAACCATAGAATCAACTGATGCATTGGCCGCCGGGCCCAAACACGGCAGCTTCCACTTCCACGGACTTGCATACAGTTTTTCTTGACGGCTAAGTACTCACATGTGCATGTGCTGCTAAGTATTCACAGGCCGGACAAATTAATTATGCATTTTTCCCCCTCCCTACCCCTGGGCCCTTTGCTACCCCACCCGCTACTCGGGAAACAGAAGGAAATCGCACTCAACACACTTGTGTGTTGGTGCCTTTCCTTCTGTTTCTCCTAGCCTATTGCTAGCTACCCGGGCGGTTTAAGACAAATGTCCCGCTCGCACTCTACTTTCATTTAACTAAGTGGGCCTCGTAACTACGCCTATCTTTCTTTCTTGCCCTCTTAGTCTGCTTTTGTTTTCGTTTGCTTGGTCTGTCTTTCTAAGGCTTTTTAGGTGACTATTAGTTTTTTCGCGCGCCAATACTGGCGCTTTCTGTACAAAGCTCCACTTTCAACGTTCCACACAACGCCTGCCACCGCTTTTGAAAAAAGCGCCGATGACGGCGATCTGTGTGTGTCGCCCCCTGGACAAAGGGTTTCCTTTCAAGTTCCATGACCTCCACTCTCACCAGCAGGGGGACTGTCTACCCCACAGAAGTGACAGTCCAACGAAGAGGCTTCTGTGGCGGTACTGATATTAGTTCCGGACGCGGAACTGACGTACCTGCTTTCAACACATTGACTCCACTGGTCCACCCTGCCGCTGTTCGTTGTTTTCATGGTCCTTCTTCATGCTACCTTCCCCACAAACCGGTTTTTCCACTGCACTTCTTGGCCGATCGTGAGTTGCAGCCAGCCGCCGACTGCAGACTTGCACCTGCGGAAACATTTTTAAACAATATACTGTTTGGACCGACTCATGCGCCTTGCCGTTCCCTCACCATTTTCCCAACGTGGTAACTGAGTCACTGAAAACCAATGTCGAAGTGTGTCAACCTCTGTAACTAAGAGTTTTGAATGCAGGGGCACTGAGCACTCCTTGGCAAACTCAGTGCAACGAAGCTATGCCTTGGAGTGGGAAGCACGGATTGATCACCCGTGTACCTGCGAGAACTTTTCTACAAGCTGTGACTCCACTCTTTCCTTGTTTGTTTCCATGGTGGTTCCACGATACTTTCCCCCAAGCCTTTTTCCTTCAGCCGCCTTCAGCTGCCGCGCGTTCGTGAACTGCAGATGTGCACAAACTATTGTTGAAACATCTTCAAGTGCTCCGACCCTTTCACCTTTCGGTTCCATCGCCATTTTTCCTGGGAATTGAGTTAACTGAAAACAAATGTCAAAGTGTGACTCGCTCAGTCGTCCCACTTGGGTGCTGGGTGTGACCCTCCGCAAGGAGGCGCTGTTTTCACTTCGGAATTCGTGTAACAGACAGACTCCACCGTTTTCCTTCATACTTTGGATTCTCTTAACTGATTTGGTCTCACCATTGTATTCCCTGCAACTTATGCCGTCGGGCCAACGGAGAATAAACCCAAACGTGTTCTCTACCCTAAACATCCCAACCCCTCCCCCCCCTCTAATTAGGGTAACAGAGGGAACTGGTACTCGGCACACTTGTGTGTCGGTGCCTTTCCCTCTGTTGTCCCTTTTCAAGCCTACTCTACCCGGGCGGTGTAAGACAAAAGTCCCGCTCCCTAACTAGTGCGCCTGATTCATTCGGCTAAGTATTCAGTAACTCTAGAGTGCTAGGTAATCATACACACACACGGACACACACACATGTACATACACCTCCCTGCACCCCGCTTTCCTTCTTGCGCTTTTGGTCGTTTCTTGGGCTTTCTCTCAGGCTTTTTAGGTTGTTCTTGAGGCTCGTTTCCCTTACTTACCCCAGTCAAGAGCTAAGTATTCACTTTTTTCTACTCCTACCTCTCCCTTGCCCTCTTAGCGCTGCTCTTTCTGTGTTTCTTTCTTTTGTTTCAAAGGCTTTTTAGGTGCCTATTCAGGTCGTTCGCACGAGCGCCGCAAAGCGGCACCGTGTGTGTGTGTGTCAACCTCTGTAACTAAGAGCTTCGAATGCAGGGGCGCTGAGCACTCCTCGGCAAACTCAGTGCAACGAAGCTATGCCTTGGAGTGGGAAGCACGGATTGATCACCCGTGTACCTGCGAGAACTTTTCTACAAGCTGTGACTCCACTCTTTCCTTGTTTGTTTCCATGGTGGTTCCACGATACTTTCCCCCAAGCCTTTTTCCTTCAGCCGCCTTCAGCTGCCGCGCGTTCGTGAACTGCAGATGTGCACAATCTATTGTTGAAACATCTTCAAGTGCTCCGACCCTTTCACCTTTCGGTTCCATCGCCATTTTTCCTGGGAATTGAGTTAACTGAAAACCAATGTCAGAGTGTGCAAATGTGAAGATATGCAGATGTGACGATGTGCATGTCAGGAAACGTACGGATTTCAAGATGCAGGATGTAAAGATGTGAAGATGTGCTGGTGTGGATATGTGCGGATGTAAGTTGTGATGATCTGTAGTGCACCTGCTTCTCTTAGAAGAACCCTTCGCTCAGGCGATCTCGCGGAAAAGACACACACAAACACCCAAAACAACTCAGAATGCAACAAGTGACTTTGGACTTTGAAGTGCTTGGACTTGACAAGTGACTGGGGACAATACGACGTTGGACTCAAAACGCAAAAGAACTCAGGACTTTGAGTGATGCAAAGTGACTCCTGACTGATCCTTCCTTCAAAACTTGCCCCCTGGTGCCACTGCCGGCGTTGCAGGCCGCTGGCCAAGCACATGCGGCGCGCGACGATGCCGATAATGGGGCCAGTTGCAGAGAAAGCCACAACTACCAGAACAACATACTTGGGGGCCTCATATACCTGGGAGTTATACTGCTCGTCCTGCAGGATCCTCAGAAATACATAGCAAGAGCCAAAACATAGAAAAGCACTGGCCATCCAAAGCAAGCTATTTTGCCATGTCGTGGTGTTCGACGTTGCCCTGTCCATGCAAAAGAAGAGCAAGGCCAGGCATACAGCCCCAGCAAACCCAAGCAACTTCCACGCAAACGCAACAAAGGCAAACCAATTGAGAAAGCACACGCAGTAGGAAATGGCAAGGCCAACTGTCACCCAAACAAGACAAACGGTCTCCTTTGAAAGAATCCTCCTGTGACATTGACTGGATCTCATCTTCTCTTCCAACTCTGCTGCTCTCAGTCTCTCTTGCTCCTCCTCCTCTCGAGTAGCTCGTTGCTCCCGCTTCAGCCAATGTTCCACACGTTGGCGGAAGTCTTCATCCACTTGGGATGCAATCAAGTCGTCAGTGTGAGCGAATTTCGAGCTTTTCACCGTCACTGCAATGCGTTCATCTTCACGCAACCGCATTTGAAAGGACCGACTGGCCACCTGAGCTCTGCCCTCAGGATACAGCACGCGGAATTGACCTTCTTGACAGGCGATCTCAATGGCAACCTGCAAATCATTGATCACCAAAGGGTGGAAGGCAACCTCTTCCATCTTCGCACAAGCTGAGGGGTGAGAGGGTACTTTCCAAAGATTGGTTTGCAACGCCTCTGCAAACCCTTTAACAAATTCTGCATGAAGAAGTGGCTTAGCTGTTGGCTCTTGGGATGAAACAGGTCCAGGCCCAAAATTGTTGCTCATGTCTATTTCGGATATCACTGCCATTCCCAATTCCATGGACATTGAAGGAAGATACTCTTATTGAATAGGCCATCCGGTCTAGAGCCAAAGAGAGGAGGTCCACGAGCGCGGAGGAACCTTCCACCTCACGATCCTTGCCTTCACATAAGTGCTTAGCTGACACCACTCATTGGAAGAAGGTTGCTATGTCCAAGACAACTAAAATAAAAGGACACATATGACACACACACACAAATCACCCATTGGCAAACATGCCAAAAATAATCCTTAAGACTTAAGAGCCTTGATGATTTGAACCACACTCCTGTCAGTTTCCTGGGAGTTGGGACATCCAAATACATCCAGCCACCATCAACAGACCACCGACCCGATTGCGAGAGTTGCATGGATCGGAGCTCTGAACCACGACCACGGACGGCGTTGATGTGGTCTTGGCAAACACGAGACAAACAGCGAGGCTTAGCTATAGCTAGATTCCTTGACTTGCCAAAAAAGAGGTCTGCATTAGTGGCACTCCATGGTTACGCACCATGAACTTCCCATCTTTCACACTCTCCTGAAAATCCTTAGCAAGCAAGGGGCCCACATGCTATTGCAACATCATGGAAACTCAAACTCTTACGTTATCTCAGGGAACTCATTTACAAAAGAACACGTCCATTGCGAGGTTACTGACACAAACTGCACAACTCAGGTAAGTAAGGGAGCAACATCTATACCTTGTACTCTCATCCATGGGCAGTGGGTGTAGATGATCCTCGCCTCCATCAACCCAAAGCAACCAACTTTGAGGATGCTGATGGCTGATGTGCAGATTCATCAACCCTCCTTCTATGCTACCTCGCTCGCTGCCTCATAGCCTCACGGCACGGCAGTCCCACCTGCACGGAATGTCTTGCGTCGAGCGGCTCCTTGGCGAAGACGACTCGTGGAGAAGCTATTCCACCGGAGCCGGAATGCATCCGTTTCATCATGTTTCATCGTTATGTTCACCGAACCTGCAACAAACACATATATCCACTAATATCTACAGTATAAAGGTCGGTGAACTGAGAGGTGTGAGAAAGCTGATTGAGGATGTCAAACAAAAAACATGCCCTAGGGATCCACAAAGCACCCAGTATGTGGATTGATGGGGTTCCCACTTCATGGGGTTCCCACTTCTATTGGCCTAACTTCAGAATGTTGAAGGCAATGTATGGCAATGTGATCATGCGACTCATGCTGAAAGATCCCATCATTCTTATCTCGCTGCCTCGTAGCTCACTCCCGGTAGTCCCATCCTGCACCGGGGCACGCTGGTCCTCGTCCTTGCAGTCGAGTGTGTTCGCTTCGCAAATCCTGCGCGAAATGAGTGGCTCAGCGACCAAGAAGTACTACCTACACTCCCTGAAACATCCTCATGGAAAGAGGGCACCCCCCCAAAGAAAAACATTTTCCGAATACCAAACAGATCCAAACAGGTGGTTTTCACTCAACCATGTTTGTTGGAGCGAGGACCATTTAACCGGCAAACATGCGCCTGAAAAAATCGGAGAAGGAATCCGCCTATATGCCAAAAAGGCTTGCGAGCACGAATCCGACCGGGGGGGGAAGGTCGGTGAAGGCCAGGGAACGATTCGTGGCGATGTGGTCATCCGGATGTCGTAGTCTACACACCGTTCCAACAACTTGCGCGTTTCCAAAACAACACTCAACATACAGTATACGTTCGCACGTTCGCCTCACAATTGCCTGTTATAAAACAGGGTCCTATAGTAGTCTAGATGTTTTCTCAGTTTCACGACCTTCAGACCTTCATCTATATAACCCATCATGCAATGCCCCCTCCATCGCCCACGAGTCCTCCCGGCGCTTCAAACGTTCCGCTTCCACGCCTGGTTGGAGCAGTGCCTCCATGCCCTGGCTAAGCCTGACCTTCTGTCCAACGGTATTCCTTGTGTCTGATCTTTCTGGTGGACCAAACACAAGAAGCATCAGACTGTTGCTGAGCCTGCAAAGGATTGAAGAGAGCCGATAACATTGAAGCGTGCAAAGACTAAAGCTGCTAATGATCATGGGAGGAAGAGTAAAACACAAAACCACATACTCTCGTTGACTTGTCCACCTTATTTATCCTTATTTGTGGATTGCCAAGATCAAACCAACCTGTTGATTAGGGCAAAACACACTTCCCACCTCACATGGGTCAAACCAGATTCATGACAAATCACAAATACATATCTCAAGCGCATGTACATGTCTCTTTTCTTTCTTGCAACACTAGAAGTTTGATCTATATAAACCATGGGATGCCCAGCACGGGGAACACATGACCAACAGGCCTAGGATCGAATTGTGACAAACCCCTATGCCAAGAATCAAGAGTCATTCATAGACACCTAATTATCCTGTATTATCAGCATGCATCGCATGCGTCCCTATTCCATGCCATCCTCTCAACTCTTCATCTGGTTCTTGATGCTTGTTCAGATTTGCAAAAGTTGCTTGGAACGAGTTCAGTGTCAAACGCAGTACTTATTACCCTCGATCGACAAAGACAACTCCACCTGAATGAGTTGTAAGATCTTTGCGGCCAAAATAACCTAAATGAACTTTCCCTACAAGTCCCACCATCCTGTGCTTGCTCAACCCAACTTCCCATCTTTGTCGCCGCCTTGATCTGGAAGATCTTCAGATCTCAAGTTCTTTGTTCCGCTGCCGCTCCTGAAACGATGGGAATCAGCTGGTCTGAAGGTCTTGAGACTTCGATTAAGCATGATGACATGAGTTGTCAGCACAGCTCCAGGATTGAAGCAACTCATGATGAACTAAGCATACTGGTAAACTGCCTTCTCGGAGGTTCTATACTCAGAGTATAGAATCTATACACTCCCGAAAACTAACATGGACCCAGGTCGCACCCTGAAAGACTGTTTTCCTCGGTCGCTGCACCAGTGGTTTTCAGGGTGTATGTTAGTTTTCAGTGGGGTACATCCGGTGGTGAGTTGACCTTGGATCCTGGGATCTGCTGGGATCTTGTTCCCCAGCTTGTGCGAGCCACATCAGAAGTACCTCTGCTGTCATCCGAGCGGCTTCCAAAACTGGCATCTGCCTATGTCGTAAGATTTGTCATTCTAACAAGCCCACCATAGCCCACTTAACATGAACAGGAGGTGAATAGAGTCATTCATCTGTCAGAACGAAATCAACCGTGCCCAACCTGTTCTTGGGTTGTCGGGGGGGCCAGGAGCCGCAGGAGCCGCATCTGCTTCTTCATTTTGCAATTTCAGCGCTGACAAGATTGCTTCCAAGCAGTTGCCACACCGGTGACAAACAAAAACGACAAACGGGATGAAGCGATACGGGTCCAAGTAAGTCTCATGTTTGAGTGTACACAGAAGTCAAACTGCTTGGATGACTTGACGAACTGCGGCTAAAAGCTGATTCAAGCAGTTGAAAGCAAATGCTCTTGCAGCTGCTCTTGAGATGATCTTGACCACCACCAATTGCTCACCCTACGACAACACCTGCAAATGAAATCAAATCTTGGTCGACAGGCGCTTGCTCCGTCTCCCACCTCTTGGTCTTGTGTGTCTCCATCTGATGGCTGGAGAAAGGGTGACACATCCATCTCGATGTAGGGATATCCCTTCCGATCGAGCCAGGCTACTTCAGCTCGCTGGGAATCTCCCAGCCCTTCTGCGTCTTCCAAAATCCTGCGCTCTTCGGGTGGAAGCCATTTCCGGAAGAGGCGCTGGACTTCCCGGCTCTGTTGCGATGAGCGATCATATCTCTTCTCATTGGAAAGCTTCAGCAAGCCAGCTTGCTTGGCATCCTCGTACTCTTTGGACCTCTCAAAGTCCTGCATCTTCTTTCTCACACTCTCTCTAACAAGATTCTCTTGCCCGACAGTGGCAAAACTTGCCACCTTCCCTTTGCTACGGAGACCCTGCCAAAAGTACACATGAAGGACAGCACCATACTGCATGGCCTTGTGAATGTTCTCAATCCATACTGACCACCACTGGCAGCCCCATTCCTTCTCCTCTCCGTAGAGTGCAAAGCACCAACAAGCGCCACACAACCCCTCCTCCACGGGGATTGGGCAGTGGTTTCCATAATACTGAGTGCCCTCGGGAAGGAAAACTACTGCTGCGCTTGTTTGCCCACCTCGGGCTTGTCGCGCCAAGTAATGCCAGGCTGTTGCATAGAGGCCCGGCCAAGAGGCAATACAGGCTGTGCCAGGCCTCAACAGAGACCAACATGTTGATGGGAGGTGGAAGGAGTTTGCTTGTAGGGTCTTTGTGGGCAAAAGGTTAAGCAAATGATTGGAGGAATGAGGAAAGCACATTCATTGACGAACTATCAAAAAGGTTGAAGACGAGTGCAAATAAGGTCGTGAAATTAGTTGAAAGCTTCACTTCTTTCCTTACGGCAACATAAAAGCATATTGTGAAACACAATGAAACACAAAATACACATAGTTAAGTTATGTTAACACATTAACGAAGCAAATGAATGCAACGGGCAACAAATGAGTTAAGTGAGGCAAAGCCACTCCTCACTGATCTTTCCTTCGAACATGATCGTCCGGTCGCGGACGCGGTTCTCCGCCTCTCGGCGCCACCTTTGGCGAGAAAGGCCGTCGGCCAAGCACGTATGGCGCAATGTGTAGCCGATCAACGGGCCCCATGAGGCAAAAAGTGCAAACGACGCATCTGGAGGCACTTCGTGAGTGTCTCGGGCTAAAGTGAATCTGAGAAACCAAAAAACAGTGAAAAGACCATCAATAGTTAAACCAACAACAGCCAAATACATTTGGCATTCTTCGGTGTTCGGCAATGCCCAGGCCAAGTAGAAAAAGAGCAAGGCCTGGCAAAGACACATAGCATATCCAAGCACGTAGGGCCAGACTTGTGGACATCCAGAATCGTAGAGATCCAGACTCGTCCAAAACGACCAAGACATAAATATAAACAACACAAAGTTAATAAGACTACGATAAAAGACTATGAGTTCACTAGATGTTGTCATCTTTTCCAGCTCTTCTGCTCTCCGTCTCCCCTGCTTTTCCTCATCTCGAACGGCTGTTTGCTCCTTCTTCAGCCAGCTATCCACCCTTCGATGGAACTCTTCATCCACTGCAGACACCATCACTACCTTCCTCTCGCGTCTATGAGCGAACTGCGAGGTCAGCACCGTCACTACGATGGTTTCCTCCTCACGCAGCCGCACTTGGAAGGATTCCCCGGTCACCTGAACTCGGCCTTGGGGATACGCCACCCGCCATGGACCTGGACCTTCAGCAACTTCAATGGCAACCTGCAAGTCATTGATCACCTCCAAGGGATTCCACGCACTAAAAAGCGGTGCCTCTTCGTCCATCTTTGAGCAGGCTGTGGGCGATGCGTCAAAATGTGGATCAAGTTGTTTAGCTCTTGGGATGAAGCAGGTTTGAGCTGAAGATAGGTTTTCTATTTAGTTGTAATAATTGAATTATTGAAATCACTGGAACCTTCAGAATTTGAAGGGACATGTTGAACAGGTACATGTGATCTGGAGCCAATGGGTGAAGACCCATAAAACCGCGATTTGGAACCTAAAGTTTGTGCGGTGCACCAAAGCTTAGAACTTAGTGCTTTGCTGGTATCCCTCAGAGCATTCATCTCCCAAACGATTGGAGAACACTTGAGTTGTTTTGTGTTATCTTTTGCCACACAATTCAACAACCCAAAGAGCACGGACAATCTAAGAAGTACAAAGGGGTGATGCCCTGGGGGACTCTCCCAGCAAGCAACAATACATATCATCCGCGGAAGGGCAGAAGTCGGTATCCCGATGACATTTTGAAGGAAAAGGTCTCCATCAATGGCACGCAATGGTTGCGCAGTGGTGTGAACTTCACATTGCTTAACCCACTCTCCTCGGACGCACCAGCTGAGGTGAAAGGTCAGGCTATGTGAGGCTCCTGAGCAGTGAGGAGGTGAGGGGAGTTGATGTGTCATTCAACGGATTTTCGCTATTGCTTGGGTCTATCAGTCTATCCCATTACAAGGGCCCAGGTGGATGATGATGATGATGGGTGGTTCAGTTGCAGGCCTTTCTCCAAAATAGTGATTTGCTTGTTCACCGACTGGTACAAAATCTCTTGGTGCCTCTGGTCCTCTATTACTCATCTGCATCCATTGATCCGTGATGCGGCATGTCCCCCGACAAAAACAACACCGGTGGCCAAAGTGCGTCTCGAGTCGCCCCCCCCTTTCAGTCGAACCACATCCGCTTTCTCCAGTTCTTCAGCATTCTGCAGCCATTTCAAGTCGCCCAGGAATTGCCGAGTATTCCCAAACCAGGACACTACCGGACAGGGCAACTTCATTCGGAATCCATGCTATTGGAACATCCTGGGAGGTCAAGCTCTTACGTTCTCTCAGGGAATTCATATTGTACAAAAGAGCACATCCATTTCCCGGTTTCGGACACAATCTGCCCAACGACTAAGGTAAGAAAGAGTATCTCCGGAGTATTCTAACCTATCATGCAATGCTCCCTCCGTCGCACACAGGTCCTCCCTGCGCTTCAGGCGTTCCGCTTCCACTCCTGAAGCGTGCTTCTACAGATCAGTCAGCAAGGGAAAACAACCTCAAAAACAATATCTCTGGAACATCCAAACCTCAACCCAGAAAACTTGCGCATGCAGTATAAATCGGCATCCTCCATATGATTTCTCAGTTCCTTCCAATTCTGGACCCTTCCCTCAGCCTATGAATTCTTCCCCCTTCCTCGCGTGCCGCGAGTCCTGCTTGAGTGACGCCCTCCTGAGTTTCCACTCCTGAAGCGCGCTGACATACCAATTGGCACCGGACAAACCTCCTTTTCGCGGTCCCTCCAAACCTTAGGGATTGGTTCGAACCCCCAGACCCTAACGCCCTAACCCGGGGATTCGCAACATCTATACCTTCTACTCTCATCAAATGGGCCGCAGGTGTAGATAATGGGCACGCTGGTCCTCGTCCTTGCCGTCGAGTGGAGCTTTCGCGAATCCTGGCGAAGATGAGCGTTTCATCAAGCAAGAAGTACATTCCCTGAAACGTCCTCATGGACCCCCCCTTTTCCGAATACCAAACAGGTGGTTTTCACTCCACGAAACCCATGTGTGTTACATTTTAACGATTTTAACGGCAAATTCGCAGGGAAATCGGAAGCAATCCGCACGCAAAGTTGCTGTTGCTGAGCTTGCACAGGGTTGAAGAGAGCCGATAACATTGAAGCATGCAAAGACTAAAGCTGCTAATGATCATGGGAGGAAGAGTAAAACACAAAACCACATACTCTCGTTGACTTGTCCACCTTATCTATGCCAATATCAAACCAACCTGTTGATTAGGCCATCACTTCCCACCTCACCTGGGTCAAAACAGATTCATGACAAATCAAGAGTACATGTTGATCTATACAATGGGGTGCCCAGCACGGGGAACACATGACCATTGTGACAAACCCATATGCCTAGACTCAAGAGTCATTCATAGACACCTAATTACCCTGTATTATCAGCATGCGTCCCTATTGCATGCCATCCTCTCAACTCTTCGTCTGGTTCTTGATGCTTGTTGAGATCTACAAAAGTTGCTTGGAACGAGTTCAGTGTCAAAGGCAGTACTTATTACCCTCGATCGACAAAGACAATTCCACTTGAATGAGTTGTAAGATCTTTGCGGCCAAAATGACCTAAATGAACTTTCCCCACAAGTCCCACCATCCTGTGCTTGCTCAACCCACACTTCCCTCCATCTTTGTCGCCGCCTTGATCTGGAAGAACTTCAGATCTCAAGTTCTTTGTTCTGGGTGTCCATGCGCTGCCGCTCCTGAAACGACAGGAATCAGCTGGTCTGAAGGTCTTGAGACTTTGATTAAGCGTGATGACACGAGTTGTCAGCACAGCTCCATGATTGAAGCAACTAGTCATGATGGACCAAGCATACTGGTAAACTGCCTTCTCGGAGGTTCTATACTGAGAGTATAGAATCTATACACTCCCGAAAACTAACATGGACCCAGGTCGAATGGCACCCTGAAAGACTGTTTTCCTCTAGCTGCACCAGTGGTTTTCAGGGTCTATGTTAGTTTTCAGTGGGGTACATCCGGTGGTGAGTTGACCTTGGATCCTGGGATCTGGGATCTTGTTCCCCAGCTTGTGTGAGCCACATCAGAAGTACCTCTGCTGTCATCCGAGCGGCTTCCCAAACTGGCATCTGCCTATGTCGTAAGATTTGTCATTCTAACAAGCCCACCGTAGCCCACCAGTTAACATGAACAGGAGGTTATATAGAGTCATTCATCTGTCAGAATGAAATCAACTGAGCCCAACCTGTTCTTGGGTTGTCGGGGGGCCAGGAGCCGCAGGAAGCCGCAGGAGCCGCATCTGCTTCTTCATTTTGCAATTTCAGCGCTGACAAGATTGCTTCTAAGCAGTTGCCACACCGGTGACGAACAAAAACGACAAACGGGATGAAGCGATACGGGTCCATCAAATCTACTCTAAATAATCAGGCGATTGCAGTAAGTAAGTCTCATGTTTGAGAGTATATCATAAAAGTCGAACTGCTTGGATGACTTGACGAACTGCGGCTAAAAGCTGATTCAAGCAGTTGAAAGCAAATGCTCTTGCAGCTGCTCTTGAGATGATCTTGACCGCCACCAATTGCTCACCCTACGACAACACCTGCAAATGAAATCGCATCTTGGTCGACAGGTGTTTGCTTCGTCTCCCGCCTCCTGAACTTGTGCGTCTCCTTCATCTGATGGCTGGAGAAAGGGTGACACATCCATCTCGATGTAGGGATATCCCTTCCGATCGAGCCAGGCTACTTCAGCTCGCTGGGAATCTCCCAGCCCTTCTGCGTCTTCTATAATCCTGCACTCTTCGGGTGGCAGCCACTTCCGGAAGAGGCGCTGGACTTCCCGGCTATGTTGGGACGAGCCATCATAGCGTTTCCTGTCAGAAAGCTTCAGCAAGCCAGCTTGCTTGGCATCCGCATACTCTTTGGACCTCTCAAAGTCCTGCATCTTCTTTCTCACACTCTCTCTAACAAGATTTTCTTGCCCGACAGTGGCAAAACTTGCCACCTTCCCTTTGCTACGGAGACCCTCCCAAAAGTACACATGAAGGACAACACCATACTGCATGGCCTTGTGGATGTTCTCAATCCATACTGACCACCACTGGCAGCCCCATTCCTTCTCTTCTCCATAGAGTGCCAAGCACCAACAAGCGCCACACAAGCCCTCCTCCTCGGGGATTGGGCTGTGGTTTCCATAATACTGAGTGCCCTCGGGAAGGAAAACTACTGCTGCGCTTGTTTGCCCACCTCGGGCTTGTCGCGCCAAGTAATGCCAGGCTGTTGCGTAGAGGCCCGGCCAAGAGGCAATACAGGCTGTGCCAGGCCTCAACAAAGACCAACATGTTGATGGGAGGTGGAAGGAGTTTGCTTGTAGGGTCTTTGTGGGCAAAAGGTTAATAAGCAAATGATTGGAGGAATGAGGAAAGCACATTCATTGACGAACTATCAAAAAGGTTCAAGACGAGTGCAAATAAGGTCGTGAAATTAATTGAAAGCTTCACTTCCTTCCTTACGGCAACATAAAAGCATTTTGTGAAACACATGAACACGCATAAATACTTAAGTTAAGTGAGGCATAGCCACTCCTCACTGATCTTTCCTTCGAACATGATCGTCCGGTCGCGGACGCGGTTCTCCGCCTCTCGGCGCCACCTTTGGCGATCCAGGCCGTCGGCCAAGCACATATGGCGCATCAGGAAGCCGATCAAGGGGCCCCATACAGTGCCCCATGAGCTACAAACCGCAAACAACACGTCTGGAGGCACTTCGTGAGTGTCTCGGGTTAAAGTAATCATCCTGAGAAAGTAAAAGACATTGTAAAGACTAGTAGCAAATCCAACAATACCCAACCCCACTTGGCATACTTTGGTGTTGGGCAACGCCCAGGCCAGGCAGAAAAAGAGCGAGGCCAGCCAAGCACCCATAGCACATCCAAGCACGCAGGGCCACGCTGACTGGCCTATCGAATGCGAATGAACGTAGTCGTAGATGTTTAAATTTGGACCCGTCCAAACCAATGATCCACAGGAACCAGCCAACGCACCATATACAAGGCTCCAAATAGATAGAGAGACAATGCTCCAATTTCTAACTCGACGTTCACTTGATCTCATCATCTTTTCCAGCTCTTCCCTTCTCCGTCTCCGCTGCTTCTCCTCCTCTCGAATGGCCTTTTGCTCCTGCTGCAGCCAGATATCCACCCTTCGACCGAACTCTTCATCCACTGCAGACACCATCACCTTCCTCTCGCGTCCGAGAGCGAGCTCTGACGTCAGCACCGTCACTGCGATGGTGTCATCTTCACGCAGCCGCACTTGGAAGGATTCCCCGGTCACCTGAACTCGGCCTTCGGGATACGCCACCCGCCATGGACCTGGACCTTCAGCAACTTCAATGGCAACCTGCAAGTCATTGATCACCTCCAAGGGATTCCACGCACTAAAAAGCGGTGCCTCTTCGTCCATCTTTGAGCAGGCTGTGGGCGATGCGTCAAAATGTGGATCAAGTTGTTTAGCTCTTGGGATGAAGCAGGTTTGAGCTGAAGATAGGTTTTTCTGTATCATATGATTGCTGAATTTTCTGGTCTGATCGATTCCTCAAATCCTTGAAACCTTCAGATTTCGATTGAGCATGTTGAATGGAGCCAAAGGCTGAAAACCCAGAGGAGCGAGATTAAGAACCTGCCATGCGGTTTTGTGGTGCAGGAAAGCTTGTATAAGTACCATTGTATAGTGCTTTGCTGGCATCCCTAAGAGCAATCATCTCCCAAACCATTGGAGCAACATAGCTACATGGATTTCCATGGCAGCAAAAGTCGGTATCCCGATGATCTGAGGTCGTCTTTAATTTTGTAAATCAAGCAGCGGAGTGCGGACTGCCTTCCGCCGGCGCGCACTGGGTCAAGTGAGTGTGTAAATCAAGCAGCAAAACAAACAGCAGTGACGCTGGATGCCTTGACTTTTGAAGGAAAAGGTCTTCATCAGTCTCCATCAATGGCACGCAACGGTTGGGCGTTGTGAACTTCACATCGCTCAACCCAGTCTCCTCCGACACACCAGCTGAGGTGAAAGGGCGATCAGGCTATGTGAGGCTCCTGGGCAGTGAGGAGGTCAGGGAAGTCGGATTCTCGCTATTGCTTGGGCTTTTCCCATTACCAGCAAAGGTGAATAGACATAGCAAGCGTTTCATCAAAAGCAAAATAGTGATATTTGTAAACCGACTGTTACATGGTAAGTTCGGACAACCCCAAGCTGTTGCCATCATCTTGGTGCCTCTGGTCCTCCATACTCATCCGCATCCACGGATCGGTGTTGCAGCAGTTTTCCAAAAACAACACCCGTTGACCAAACCAAGTCAGCGCGTCCGTGCGTCCAGAGTCGCCATCCCTTGCAGGCGAACCACATCCGCTTTCGCCCAGGATTCCCAAAACCAGGACACTACCGAACCGGGCAATTGGATGTGTCAAAATAGAATAGATCCTACGTAGAATCCATGATATTAAACACATCCTGGGAAATCAAGCTCTTTCGTGATCTCAGGGAATTCATTCTACAAAAAAAAGCACTTCCATTTCCGGGTTTCTGACACTGCTGCACAACTAAGGATACTAAGATATACTAAGGTAAGTAAGGGAGCAACATCTATATACCTTCTACTGATTGAACAAATCTAACACATCTCATGAATAGGCAGCAGTTGTGCGTGATCCTCCCCTCTATGAGCCCAACGCAACCACCTTCGAGGATGCTGATGGCTAATCTGCATCCACCAACCATCCTTCCATCTACGGTTCTATAATTACCTAGATCTTCATTGACTCTTCATTCGGCAATCATTTCCGCTCAACTTCGTTTAGGTCGAAAACACGCCCGTGTCCACAACCATCTCGCCATCTCGCTACCTCCCCAACCTCGCGCAGTCCCGGCAGTCCTACCCTGCGCTTTGCGGCATGGTGGTCCTCGAGCACGGCAGTCGAGTGCGCTTCGCGGATCCTGCGCGAAGACGAGTGGCGAAGGTGGAGAAGGCGGATCCTCCACTCAAACCGCATCCTTTTCAAACGTGGAACGGCCACATTTGAGTCAACTCATGTCACCGTCATGATGGGGAACAAAATCATGTTTTTGGCTCCCAAACAGGGGGCACTCAGGTTCTATAGCACGTAAAGATACTACAAGATATTACAAGGATAGGGTTAACCAAGGTCTATGAACCTAGAGTTTTGCGAAAGGACTTCAAGCTGGCTCACGCAAGCTACTCTGACATCGCTCGCAGGTGTTGACCCATCTCGATCCTCCGCGATCCGTCCGCTTCGAGCCGTGCCCCAAGACCCATCTTCACACCGGTGGCGAGGATGGAGACGTCCGACCCCACCGAGGTTCCGTGCGGTTCAGCGAGGTGCGTCCGACCACTCCGACGCAACATGTCTTGCGACGCCGACGAACACATTCTGGTCATCCCAGGACACCCCCCCTTCTAAGCCCCTAAAGCCTTAGAGGTCATAAGGGGTGTCAAAAAACACACCGCCCCTTGTGGGTCCTGGTCCTCTTGGATCTATATAGGCGTCTTTAGAAGAGCGCGACTTCCACACGACGTCACTCCGCATCTGAGCGGTTTTCTCTTCGAAGCCTTTCGCTTCGATCGGTGCCATCGCCGGCGCTGGTGGCCGTCTCAATGCGAATTCGGTCGGTCCAGGGGTGGGGGATCGGTGTAACGTGACCGGCCACTGAGTGGATTGCAAAAACAACAGGAACAAGGAGGGCCACTGAGTGGATTTCTGCTTCAACTTCTTCCGTCACTTTCTGTGCAAACTGCGATTCCCAGTGAAACCAAATCACGCTGGCAAATCATGGCAAATCTGTCAGCTTACACCGCCCGGTCACAACGTGGAGTGGAACAAAAACATCTGGCATGTTAAAAAGTAAAATCTGACAATCAAGCAGTTATGTACTAAGGCGAAATCTCATTCAATAGGGGGAAAGGTCGAGCCGCAAGATCTTCTTCTTGCGTGTGGAGAAATGGTGACACATCCATCTCGATGTAGGGATATCCCTTCCGATCGAGCCAGGCTACTTCAGCTCGCTGGGAAGGTCCCAGGCCATCTAAATCTTCTAAAGTTTTGAGATCTTCAAGCGGCAGCCATTTCCGGAAGAGGCGCTTCATTTCCCGGCTGAATTGCGATGAGCCATCATACCTCTGCTCGTCTGATAGCCTGCACAAACCAGCTTGAGCGGCATCCTGAAACTCTTTGGACACACTAAAGTCCTCCATCTTTTTTTCCACATTCTCTCTGACAAGATTTTCTTGCCCGACAGTGGCAAAACTTGCGGCCTTTCCTCTACCGCAGAACCCTTCGCAGTAATACACGTGAAGGACAGCGCCGCACACCATAGCCCTGTAGACGTTCTCAATCCATACTGACCACCACTGGCAGCCCCATTCCTTCTTCTCCCCATAAAGTGCAAAGCACCAGCATTCACCCTGTAGCCCCTCCTCTTTCGGAATTGGGTAGTGCTTGCCGTAGTGCTGGGTACCCTTGGGTAGGAAAACTACTGCCGCGCTTGTTTGTCCACCTCGGGCACGCATTGCCAAGTAGTGCCATGCGGTTGCGTAGATGCCGGGCCAGGAGGCAACGCAGGCTGTGCCGGGCCTCGACGCAAATGGCAAGTTGATTGTGTTGGCTGTGGAGGGGCTTTGCTTGTAGGGACTTTGTGTTTGAGAAGTTGTACACACAACTAAGAATATGATCATCATTAATCAACAAATCGTGAATCTATAGAAAACACAACATGAATCAACACACATGAACACACAAACTATTACACAGGGTCGAACCTGGACGCCAGTACCAGGAGTTGCAAGTTGTTAGTTTTTGTCCCCCCCGTGGCACGGCCAAAGGAATTTGTGGATGACGCTGTTAGCAGCAAATGAACTACACAAACGCTCCAAACCTTAGGGATTGGTTTGACCCCAGAAGGGACCGATCCCCCCATGTGAGGGTCCAGGAGCGTCTGGGTAATAACCAAGAACTCTGAACTTCAAGTGATGCAAAGCAACTCCTCGATGACCTTTCCTTCAAACATGATGGTCGTCTCCCGGACGAAGAGCTCTGCTTCCCGATGCCACCGTTTGCCACAACAGCCGGCGGCTGAGCACACGTGGCGCGCAGCGACACAAAGGAACGGGCCGAAGGCAAAAGGTACGAGGAAGAGGTTCTTCCACCCGATGGTGCCGATCAAGCAGGCCAAGCCCCAAAGGTAAGCCAGCACAAGCCAAAGCATTTGGCATGTGCATCTTCCGGTGTCCTGCATTTCACGGCTGGCGATGCAAAGGAAGAATGAGGACAAGCAACAAGGCCCGGCAGCCACAGCAATGTATGCAATGATATCAGAATAACTCCACACCGCGGCCGCCACCAAGGCAAGGAAACAAAGCAAACAAAGGATTGCAAAGGTCAGCACAAAGGCCTCCCAGGAACAAACCTTCCTTCGAAATGCATTGGATCTGGTCATCTCATCGATTTCTTCTTTTCTCCGTCTCGATTGCTTGGTCTCTTGCCAAGTGTCTTGTCGCTCCTGCTGCAGCCAGTGTGCCACCCTTGTGCAGAAGTCTTCATCCATTTCAGAAATCGTCACCTTCATCTCAGGCTTCCCAGCAAACAACAAAGTCTTCACAGTCACTGCGATGGTGTCATCTTCACGCAGCCGCACTTGGAAGGATTCCCCGGTCACTTGAACTCGGCCTTTGGGATATAGCACCTGCCACGGACCTTCCGTGGATTCAGCAACTTCAAAGGCAACTTCTAAATCATTGATCACCTCTAAGGGTTGCGAAGTGGAAATGACCGGTGATGGATCTTCCATCTCGCAAGAGCAGTGACACCGGAAATCAATGACCAGCGTGAGAGCAATGAACGCAAGTACTTACACCAGTTTCTATCGCAGGTTTTGACCTACCATCTGTCTCCAAACTTACCAGTGTGAGTGCCAATTTGTGCACTATGCTGCCATATCCAAAGCCTCTGATGTGTTTTGTTTGCTTTTAACATGTCAATCCATTCTGAAGCCAACAGATCCAAGCACGAGCTCCAGCAAGCCTATGTGGTTCCAACCTGTCATTCATAAACAAAAATAGCACACCAGCGCAGTTGCCACTGCACACACACACACCACTGCTACTGTAGGCCTATAGGCTTGGGCGAATCCACACGGTTGAACAACCCAAAGGTCGGAAGCTGCCAAGGTCGGAAGCCCCTGGCTTCATTCCGGGGGTCACCTGGCGGGTCAGCACGTGTGCCCAACGACTATAAAGGATATTGAAAGGTGCAGGACATCCCGAAATGAAGGTCCAGGTAGCTTTGGATTGTAGGTTTTGGATTGAACCATTCACATGCTAACCTACAAATCGTTATTTTCAATTTTCACATTCTGAGAACCTAGGTTTGGATTGTAGAATGAATGAGAACCGCAAAAGCGTAGGTTCTGAGAATCTCTCAGATGGCACGAAAAACAAACTGGTGGCAGTATCTAGCACATCCATGGAACAACCTTTTGGGGGAGACTCTGTTCGAAACATGTTCGGAAGCATGCACAATGTTCTATGATTTTGCAGAGCTTGAATGGCATTTTGAAGCCAATGTGATCATTAGTTCACTTGGATTCTCACATATCGTTATCCCGAATAAGGGAATGTTAAAATATGATTGGAACAGCTGGCATCACATGAATCATCTGGCGATCCCGAGAATGAGGACAACATGACATTGCTAGCTTTGGTGCAGGGGGGGGCTTCCCAAAAACACTTGGAAACACAAATCACGACACTTTGGCGCTTTTGCCACCAGCTGGAGTGGCCCCAAATCATCCAGCTCTCCTCGTCGCCAAAGGCAAACCCGCAGTCGCACGAGAGCTCGAACTCGGGCCTGAAAAATTGAGGACATCGACAATTCATTCTTCCTGAATCCCCATCTCAAATAAACACGTGCAGTAACTTGATCTATGCAACTCTTTTAGTCTATGAATACCACATCTCCAAGAGCAAATCCCATCATGTCTCTTGTTTTCATTGGGTCTTTCACAGATCCTCCTTCTGCCAATATCTCAACAGCAGGTCGCCAACCCGGTTTCCCATTGACTGCCTCAATATAAGGGAACATGTTCTAGGAACCTCTCATAGTTTTGGGTGTGAACATCATGGTTTTACCAGGTTATGGAGTGGACTGAGTGGACCATAGAAAATCATAGAAACCAAAAAACCTGTAGAAAAAAAGAAACAACAAAAATATGGTGGGGGTGAACGGGTGAACCCCATGCTTTCCTGTAGATGTTGCTCCTCACCAATCCATTGAGGCTTCGGCTCCTAAGCGTGGCGTTCCCACCGGACAGCTGGTGTCAAAATGGACCATTCTGGTCGTGGAATCCAAGACCAGTTGGTGAACATCCACGACCAGTGTTGGGGTCAGTGGAACCCATTCTGGAACCGAGAGTGACCCAGTTTTGGAATGACTTGGGGCGCTTGGGGGTCAGTCTCTACACTTGGAACTTCCTCAATTAGTGCCTTTCGGGGCATTCGGGGCCAGTTGGATTACGAGATGGACATATATACTTCATGGGATATCTTGGGATGAAACATATCTTTTTTAATGGTGAACTGAAGGACTTACATTTGTCATGCGTCATGTCAAACAAACACTCTGAGCAAACCATGGTACAGGTTTGGGTCCATCCAGAGTTCGGAACTTCACGCGGACCGCTTTGGGGATGTTTTGGTGTTTACTCCGAGCTCCTTTGATCCGACATGTATCCAATTCGGTTTCTGTGTTATCTCCCCGAAGACATGGAAACATCATAAAACCCTGCCACTGCCACTGGCAAAAAGACCACTTCCAGTGGCGTTGGCGTCCACATATAAGCGTCCTGCCCAGTGCACTATAGAGCGTCCCCCTGAGTCGCCGTACTGAGGTGACTCATTCCATGCGTTGCGGTAATTCATCCGGTCGAGCATGCGTCCGACGGGTGTCCTGTATAGTGCAGGGTAGTCTAGCCCGATATGACCCGATGGTTTGCCCTACTATTCAGCTCTGAAAACCATGAGCTCTTCCTTCAACTCTTCCAATCAGCGGAAGCACGGATGCTTGGGTGGTCTTTTTCTTCATTCTGCTCCTGCCTGTTTGCGTGTTTGCGGTGTCTTGAGGCTGACGAGATGCAGAAAATGGCACGGCTCAAAGCAGTCTGCCAAGCAGTCTACTGTCCAAGACTACTAGAAACATGAACCATGAACATACTGAATTACATCTAAATTTCATCCTTCCTTCATTACTTCTGAAACAGCTTGCTTCAGCGTGCCTAGAACGCACTGTTCTTGCTGTCCCACCCCCGCTATACCCGCTCACCCCCTTTTTTGTTGGCCGTTTCCGTCCTCCTCCTCGGCCCGGCCGGGTCTTTGCCTCGCCTCCTGCCGTTCCTCGAAGGCCTGGGTGCGTTCATCCCACTGCGCCGGCCCGTAGGGCGGGCTCCGCACCGCCCGGGGGAGCCGCAGACCTCGGTCGCCGCCGAGCGGAAGCGGACGCGGAGGCGGCGCGGGTTGGTGGCGAGGTGGTGCGAGGTGTGGAGCGAAGAGGGGGGAGAAAGGATTGCCCCGGGGGAGGCGTGGTGTGGAGTGAAGAAAGTTCATGTGCATGGTGTGCTGATGTTTGTGTTGGGAGATGTTGGATCTACTTGGGTGAAGGTGTTTGGTTGTTTTTGTCTTGGGAGAGCTTCAGAATCTCCATGCAGTTCAGGATCCAGCCGGTGATTGAAGATTGATGGATACCATGCTCTTCAGAAACCAGAAAGGTGTACAAATGATCAAACGACCTGGGGAAGCTGGTTTCTGCCTTTGTGCAAAGGCCATATTCACTATATACCAGGACCTTCCAACACGTGGTTTTTGGACACCCCTTAACCTCTTAAGAGGCTGTGAATAGACACCTCTTGGAAGGTGCTGGTACTAATATAAAAACTAATTAAGTCCCTCACTTCGCAGCCTGGAGGCGGTCCCACGATGTGTCATCCAGGATCTGCGAAGGCAAGCCACCTAGCGCGCAGAGTGTGTGTGTCTGAGCGCTCTTCCGATCCTTCACGTCTTCGATGTTTCTTTGGCGCAAACAACCCACCCCGATCCCCACAAGGGCTCCAAGGATCTACAGATTGGATCTACACACAACACTGGTCCTTTCCAAACCAGTGTGCAACAAGCTGAGCCCTTCAGCCCTTGAACCATCACCGCCGGCCACGGCTCGCCGGTTGGCTCAGGCGCCTGCGAAGGTGTCCCAGGTATCCGGCAGCTCAGGGCCATCCTCTGCCAACCTGGGCTGACTGCCGGGGCCGACCACCAGGTCGGCTGAGGGCCGACCACGAGTATCCGCAGTTGTTTGGGGATGGTGACCTTGGTTGCTGGAGGGTGGGTATTGTATACTACAGAGTTTGGTACAAATTTAGTAGAGTCTCTCCCCTTGGTTCTTTGGTACCCTTTCAAATCTTTCAAGATGGCTTGGTTCTTTGGTACCAAATGGTACCTTTCTCAAGCAACTTGCTGCTGATGTGGCATTGTTTGAAGGACAACTCTTCAGAATCCACGCTGAGATGCATCAGCTCTGTCTCAGCTTCCTCCAGGTCCACCAACTCGCGCTCAATCTCGAGGTTTGCACGCAAATCCTGGAGAAGGACAAGACCTGAACAGCTTACCCTGTACATCCATAGGTTCATATTGATTCCAAATAGCCTTCTATAATTTTGTATATAAACAAACCTTCTCCATATATTTGTGTCAAAGTCTGCGCGCATTGTATTAAGAAAGCTGATGCTAAAATTGTAATTACTGAAACTCCAAATATCATACAACATGAATTCTGAATAACTACGTAGGACCATAATATACTCAACATGTTTTCCCGCTTGTTAGAGTTGAGTGAAGCTTTCCACACGCCAACCACAAAAAACAAAACATGCTTCGTCTCTGGGCTTTTGGGAGCCTCACAGATGCCCATCATGGCGCTCCCCTGGCCTCGGGCGCTCGGATCTCCTGACCCTCCACCTGCACACGGAGGCAGTGGAGCATCAGCCGTGGAGAAGGGTCAGGCGCCTCACGACGCGCAGCGTGCGCGCCCGGCAGGCACGAGGTTGGTGTGAAGGGTGGGGAGGTCTGTGGTGATACCTGGAGTCGACCCCAGGGTACTCAGATGGTACTAAGATGTTGTACCATCCTCTCAGGAGGTCCTCCTGTTGTGCCCTGGAAGGATGGGTTGGTACAGTATGGTACGACGTATGGTAACCGACGTCGGGTCGCTGTTTGTATGGCATGCCCCAGTCAGTCGGGTACGTCGGGTCGGTCGGGTCCAGTATACCTGAGGACGTGGGACGTTCAAAGGCCTAGTCTGGGGAGAAAAAACTATATACATGGAACAGTATGGATCCCTCCTGCCCTCAGGCGCTTCATCCTAAAACTGGGACTTCTGGTCCAGACATGTTTTTGAATGATTCCAGCAACCCCCCAAATGAGGCCCAAGATCCTCCAAGTCATCACGTGTGGTGATGAATTGTCATTAGTTGGGGTCACCTGAGTGGTTTGGAGAGCAAATATGTCCAAAACCTGAACGGGGTGGTTACCAAGTGCACGCGTCCTGAAGCATCAAAGCCCAACAATCCATCCGCATGGATCCACAAATCTAGTCAGAAGGTACTTGAACCCTCCATGCCTATATCAAAGTGTCGAACACATCCACTTCTCAATTGGTGGCAGCGGATCCATTGAACAAGTGCCGACCTGTACATTTGCCCCCTTTTCCAAACACGACCTTCCCCCCAACCGACCCCGAATCGCTTTCAGTAGATGCTTTGGACCGCAGTTTCCAACACCAAGGCCCACTCGATCAACCGGAGAGACCGGAGAGAGGTTTCATAGGGTCTCATGTCATGACCAGGGCAGAAAGCGGGGGCTTTCCATCTGAAAAAAACCGACGGCCAAACTGTATTGGTTTACTGGGCCGCAGCCTACCCACATTCTGCTGTCATAAACATGAATTAACCCATCAGCATCTTCTGAAATCGGGGTCTTCCTGACTGCAAAAACACTCTGCACCACGGAAAAAAAACGTGGACACCTCATTAGTTCGTTCGGAAAGGCAGGCCCAGGCTTTAGTCAGTCCCAAAACCCCCGTTCTACGGTTTTCCCGCTCGTCTCCCGTCCCCAAGACGGGCCCCGCCGCTTGGACCGTCCCGTGGGGCGACCGACGACCGGACGGTGCCTCGCCTCGAAGCGAAAGTCCAGCCGCCGGTCGGCGTCGTGGAGCCTGGACGGGCGAGCGAGCGAACGGCTCCGAGGCTTCGGAGGAGGCGAACCGGTTCGGGAAAAGGGAGGGGAACATGATGGAAATAGATGGGAAACAATGGAAGGATAGGAAACCAATTAAAAGCATGAGGAATGATAAAGCAATACATGAGGAAAAGCGTGAAATGTGGAATGAACATGAATGAACATCGAGCTGGAGGAATGATAAATGATTACATACGGTACAGAAATGATAGATCATGCAGTGCATTGTCCGCTTCACTCAGTGACTGTCTGACTCCAATTCTGATTGGTTCACACGCCTATCTCCCAACACTGGACATCCTGCAGCCACGCAGTGCAGCTGCAGCTGCTGCGGCACCGGCGGCGCTCGGTGCTTCGGGCGCAGCAGCACCAGGGTGGCCGGAAGTCCATCAACACGTCCGATGGACAGTGGCCGGAGCAGGGTGGAGGCTGCCAGGCCTCACCGGGTGAGGTAAGTCGACTCAACCTACTTGAGGTGGACGGAAGATGTTGGAAGAAATGACTCGACCCGTGAGTAAGAGTAGTACCTCGGAAATTTAGGAGTTTTGGGGTGCAAGCGCGTATACCCTATAGTATGTTTCTGTGGGGTTCGGGATGGATCAGGTCATGCTTCCATGTTCGGTCCGGACCGGTCCGGACTTGGTTGGACCTCATGATCTGGATGAAGCGAAGTCAGCTTGATATGCTAGGCTAGGGATGTTGCGGATCTTTGCCAGAAGAAGTGACCCAAAACATCTTCCCAAGAGTGGGGACTTCACTCAGAATGAGGGAAAATCAGAAAGTAACCCGGCCCGAGGTAGCAAAACTGGGGTAAAAGCAACTCCACACCTTTGACTACTGGAAAACAATGGAAAACATACCTTTAAAGTGTGGCTTATTATAGTTATAATGCATGAACATGAACCTTTTCCAAAGCTCACCCACTCCCTCATTCTCCCTCAAACTGTCACACTCACCCACCTACAGCCACATCCCTCTTCAACAGCCTTGGCTTTACCATGGTTTACCAACCTATCTCGCTATCAAATCTGCTGGGTGTCAGATTCCACACCCTTGTCCCAGCCGCTCCCCATACGCTCCTCCCTCCGGTCCGTCCGCCACCGAGTACCGGCCTTCCGTGCGCCGGGTGGCCAGGCGAAAGGCCTTGGAGCCCTCGGAGGGGCTGCAGATCCGCGCGCGCACCGTCACCAGGCTGTCGGGCAACGAGCTACCGCGCAGCAAGGCGATCTGAGACCAGGATGTGAAGGCGTGAATTCGGCATTGGGTGCCAGCGGGAAGCAGGGCCACACTGCTGAAGGGTGGAGTTGTCTTATCTACAACTGGTCGAATTGAGATCACAAACATTCACAAAATACAAATAAGAATAATGAACACATTCAATCAGAAAATGGCTGGCAAGTGACGGCAAGTGCTTGGTATCTTTGATATGGGCAGTGTGAATCCAATTTCCACCCGCCGCTCCAACGAATTACGCATCCTTTGACCGAGAGACGTAGAGGTCCTTGTAGGGGGTCGATGCATCAGCGGGCACCAGTACAGCACCCGAAGCGCCGGAAGGTAAGAGTCCTGGGTCAAAAATAGTCAACAATTCGATCATAGGTGGTTTTCATAGGGATGCACATACCTGTTGATAATGGATTTGAGGAAGTGCAATGATGTGCGGAGTGAGCGTGTTTGGAGGTTTAAAGATGTTTCAAGTACCTTTCAGGAGGTATGTAATTGATAAACAAACACTCAAAGGGATCTTGTTCAAAGTCCTCAACTAGATATGATATCCGATGGTATCCAATAGATGTGTAGAGGATTGTAGAGGGACGTCCCCATTCTATCCACCTAGGGTGAAGATCCTTGTACGTATAAGATCTTGTATTGAAAGACCTTGTATAGATTCTGGTCAGTATAGCAAGACCTGGTATAGGTGGGAGTGGTGTGTGCTTAGGATTCATGTGGCGGCTGAGCTCTCAAGAATATTCATCCAGATCCAGTGGCTCATTCACGCCGCTCCAAAAAGGGTGTGCTGATGTGTGCTGGCATTGCCAGTTCAGCATGAAAAAATTAGGCATTTTCTTCTGGTGATCTAATCATATCTAATCTATCAACATGAGAAATGGAAAGGTTATCATCCAATCGTCTTCCCAGCCCTACTTCACTCGAAGCTTTTGGGAAACACCTCAAACACGGATAGCTTTTCTTGGGTGAACACATGTGAACACTCCTTTTTCTTGGCACAAAAAAAAACACTGAATCAATGGCCAAATGATGCCAAATAATGCTCCAGGTACCTTGATCTCCCCGCCAGGTCTCAACCATCTACCACTCTCATCACTCTCATCACTCACATCACTCTCGGTCTCCTTGCTGCGGGAAGTGATTGACCGAGCGCTGCGGGGAGTGACGCCCCAAGGAGTCGACCAAGCGTTTCACCGCTCCCCAAGACGCCTCGGCGACGTCGGAGGAGCGGTTGTTCTGCGTGTTCTTCGGGTTCGTGCGTGGGAGGAGTTGGTGGATCTGTGTACACTTCAGGAGCTCTGGATCAATTCATCCATCTCTGGGCAGCTGTGATGAAGTGAAAGGCACCTGGAATTGGACGCCTAATGATAGGTTTTGAGATTCATAGACCGCGTTTTGGGTTGGACATGGAATCTGGTATTGCAGCCGACCCTTGCCGTCCAAACACATCAGCGACAGTGCCATTGTATCCGACGGTCAAGAGTTGAAAACGATCGCCTCTGGTATCCGATGCTTTTCAGAATCATCTGGGATACTGACATGGAAACTATACTTGCTCTGTTGTCGATTTGTGTTCTGCACCCTAAAAAGTCCGCTTCATATAACGCTGGAAGAATTCAACCCAAGCCATGCCATGTATCAATGAAAAATGATTTTACCTATCAATTGATCCTTTAGATCATCTTATAAAATAGAATAACGTAGTATACCCTAGGGATCCAAGTACCTCCTCAGAAGGTATTTGGACACTCCAAACCTACATAACAGTGTCTCCAATCACCTTCTGAGAAGTACTTGGATCCCTAGGGATACAATCATTTATGTTTTTTTTCATGTATGTAAATGATTCCCAATCCCATGTCCTTGTTATGGGTCCCATGTCCTTGTTTGCTCTTCTGCGAGGTCTGTGCGCGACGTCGACCGGCGCTGGCGCCGGCGCTGCCCCCCGTTCGCCTCGCCTCGGCAGGCTTCTGAAGCACTCGTGAGCCGCCCGGCAACTCCGCCAGCAACCGCAGCGACGAGGCGCCGCTCATGGGGACGGACGGACGGAAAGGTTCGTCGCAGAAACGCAGCAAGACACGCAGCTGCCGAAGTTCTTAAGGATGCGTGTGTTCTTGTTCGTTGGGAAGGGGTGTATATAGTTTTCATTCATGGGGGTGGGTGTTCCTGGATTTCTGGGAGGAGGAAGTCCAAAGGACATTCATTGAAGTCATCCATGCAAGTAATAGCATTAGTATATTATGTTGTTACTGGTGCAATGATTATTCCACAGATTGCCTTGGGTTGGTTCAAGCAGAGAAACCTTGGGGATATGTCCAGGGTCGGAAGAACGGGGATTTCTCGTTCACCCGTAGATGGTTCGCATCCCACGCCGATATCCCGCCGGTTGCGGGAGAGTCACTTCCTAGCTGCTCCAGCTGGAGCTGCAGATCGATCCAATGCCGTCAAACACATGGGAGGATGATGGTCAATCTGTTTGACAAGGTCTAGCATGATACTAGGATATTTCGATCTAAGACCTAGGACCAGAATAGTCTCATATCTTGTGTCATTCAATTTCTCTGAAACTACTGTAGAAACATGCCATGGATGTGACAAAGTGAACGACGTGTCAATGTGATTGACAGCACAATTGAACCATCTTCATGTCCTGTCGCTTCCAGCAATACGCTGCAACCATCGCATGCAAGGTCAAGCACCCACCCAAACAGCACGTCAACAATGCGTGAAACATAAGCCTCTTGGGTTTGGAGGAAGAGTTCATTGTCAAAGGGCCCAATCCGTTTCGAACGACCCGACCGCTTCGAAGGTGTCCGATTCTGAGGGTTTTTCAACACAGCCTGGCCAGGAGCGTGTAGATGTTCCTATATCCTATGTGTTTCATAAAAGAGATCGTTTTGGAATTTTCCGTAGTAGGCCCCCAAGGGATCTATATAGATAATATGTAGCCATTTGATAGCATTTGATCGCCGCCAAACCGTCGCACCGGATCCCTTTTTGTAAGTCCCTCTCGCCGACCACTTCGGTCGAGGAGCCCAGTTGGGCCTCAGTCGGATCGACCTCCATCGATCGACCTCCAACGATCTATAGTTCGATAGACCGAATGCACTTGGTGGCTGTACTACCTCTTGGTGGCTGGTATATAAGCAATAACAACAAACAAATCAAGAGATGTGGATCTGTTTCAGGATATACCTGGATCTTCCAACTCATACAACAATACATGTTTTAATGTTTGGATGTATGGTTTTATGGATGAAAAGGATTGAAAAGGCAAACATGCTGCGCTGTTGGCAGATCCAGGTATGCAAACAAACAAAACTGTATGCAACCCTGTTCTTCACTTTGCGGTTGAGGACCCACCTCCTCCCATCTACATTCGACCGCAAGTGCGAGGCCGCAAGTGCGAGTACTAGGGCAGTTTCAAGTGTGGAGAAATGGCCTGGGTGGCCTGGGTGGCCCCAAGAATCCTTGCGACTGGAATTTATTCACCTACTTGGCGTCTTGGAACATGTCCTAATTTGTACAATGTGCCTGGACCCGAAATCGTTGGTACAGTATGAAAATGGGACATGACCTGATTACAACAGCAATATCTATACCCTTAAAACATCTCAAATAACCACCCATCACAATCCACGTAGGCAAAGATTCCAGTCCCAAGGGTGTTGTCTAGGAATGGGTGTCTTCATGGGTCTTCCAAATCCCTTGGGTTTTCCGGTGCATCCACCCCCCTGAGAAGGTGTATGTTGGAGGTCGATCCACCAGATCAGAGTGGCAGTCAATCTACAAAGGAAGTGCCCAAATGAAAACGAATACAGGAGCCACTCGGACCTATATCTGCTTCTATCTGGACAGCTTAGCCTTCGCTAGATGCAACAAACATTATGGTACGAAGTCCACCCTTCCTCCATTTTCATCTACCCTTCCTCCGGGCAGCTGGAATTCACCCGGTTTCTCTCCGAGCCACGGTGGCCCAGCCGGCGGCCTGGGCCGCTTGGCGGAAGGCTCCTGGGCCGACACTGGAGATCACCGACCACTAGAGCTAAGCTGAACGAGGAGGTCCATGAGACAAGAACGAGTCTCCGGCTGGGCCTAAAGGTTGTTTTATTGGAGGTATATTCAGACGGCGCCGGTTTTGGCGTTTGGGCCGAAGCTTTGCCATCGAAAACGGTGTGGCACCCTTCAAGTACATGGAACTCGTGTGGAACTTGTGTGGACACTGGTTTTGGGAATTGTGTGTTTTTGTTGTTCCGCTTTTGTATGTTTTGGTAAGTTCACTGGCAAACAAGTGTTTCAACATAATATTATATAAGTCTAAAACAAATCAGCATCCTTGCGACGGTCCAAACAAACGCTTCAGTCTTCTGAACCTTCAAATTCTCGAGTCCCGAACCCATGCCGCGGGCAACGGGCGCTTGGCTGCGGCGCCGTGAGCACCTGACTTCGGTGGCTCGGATGATCGTTGAGGTACCGATGCAGGCCAAGGCTGGAGTGATGAAGTATCCCTAGTGCTGAGACATCCTACCGGACTGCATGGTGGAAGGTGGGTGCTGGGCTGGTCGGTGCCCAGCTTCGGAGACCCTATCCAGGGATATACTACTGTCATCTACTGTCGCTACTAGCTTCTGATATCTTCTTATGGAAATCTTATGGATAGATCTCCAAAGCTTCTGAAGAAGTGCTGGTGAAAGACATCCTGGAACCCCAAGAAGTCTGTGGCACGCTGGTGGCTCAGTTGGCGATATTCTTTGTCACACAAGCGCATCCGTTTTCATTACCTGAACCTGCTTCCTCCTTGGATCCAATAACATAACTGTTGTAAATCTTCAAGATGTGCCTGTGAGTGTCAACAGGTCTGTCTAAATGCCCTCCTCAGCAAGGTTCTCGTTGTCCCAGATCCCGCCAAAACACCCAGGATGGTCCTGGTCTCATGTATCTGCCTTGCCCCTTTTGCGCCTTTGCCAAGTCCAACACCATCAGGAGCCCCTTTTCGATGTCGGAGCGCTGGCAACTGAAGCAGCTCCTGCCAGCTGTCCAGCCGGTGCCGGTCGCCCGTCGGTCGTGTCGAGGAGCAGCAAGAATGCTCCGTGACCCGGTGAAAGGTCCAGTTGTTTGGGAAGTGTTCAGAATGAAAGTTCCTTGAGACATTGCACTGCACTTTGCGTGATATACAGTAGCAATTGTTGATGAGGGATGATGAGGGCAGTTGAATCATGACCTGGGCTTTGCATCGACTTTCCACTGGAGCCGCCCCTAACAAAACACAGGAAGAATCCCAAAAGCTACTTTGATTGTCGCGGTGTCTTGCTGATACAGCCCTCGTACCCAGCAATTACCCGACTCTCCAATCATGGAACTGGACGTCCTTCCGCGGCGAAGAACGTAGCATCCGTCGAAATTCGCCACGAGCCACGAGCGGTCTCCTCGAAGGCTGTGTCAGCATCATTGGCAGACATGATCTCCAAGGCACGCTGCAGCTGGCCACCGCGAGCCGACCGATGCGACCGATACGGAGCGCATCGCGATGCGATGCTGAGAGGTGGCTGACGTGGTGAAGTGAAGGTATACTACCCCAAAGCCATCCAAAGATAAGAGAAGATTCATAGGGAAAATAACCCGAGAAATCCGAATATAGCTGAACCAAAGACTCCAAAATCATTCGGGATCTGGAAGATCTGGTTCGGACACCAAACCCTTCGGTTCGTAGACTGGTGGAAGACGTGGTCGGATCTCACCCAGCGGGGGGGCCATGGGACCTGCGTACGCTGCGTAGCTGTGGTGCTACGCGTCGCGTGGTGCTACGCGGTGGCGGTGCAGCTTAGGCGTCGCGGTGCAGCGTATCCATGGGATGGGATGGGATGGTGCAGCGTTGCACCATGGGACCGTCCCTGGATGGGATGGGACCGTCTTCCTGCGATGCGTATCTTCGAGTCCCAGGGAGTTCCTTGGATGTACTGATCTACCGAGTCGGGAATCGAAAACATGGGGGAGGTGTTGGGTGGCAAAACACCTTGACAGAACACACAGACACACATCCACTATACACATGCAGTCACATCATGTCACATCAGAATACGACTGGAGATGGATGTGCAGCACATCATACTCACGGGGATCCCAAAGTGATCCCTTTGGAATTGCTAAAGATCTCTTTGAACGCCAACTGACCTCAGCTGAACATCTCAAAACGGTCATGTTTTAAATTCCTGGACCAATGGAACACACCAATAGCCTATTCATGAAGACGAAGAGGCTATGCGGTTATGCTCCAAAGAAGTCTGGTGGAGTGTTCTTCAACATGAACATCTTCTGTCTTCATCCTCTCTCCCAACCACTGCCATCCCAAAAAGCCGCCGACCGCCGCATCGCATGGTTTCAACGGTGGGTGCAGCGGCCTCTGCCAGGATGTCTTGGAAGGCATTCTCCCTGGCAGCACCGATCGCATCGGACACGTCGCCGAACTCCCAAGGGTTCTTCCCGCGATTCGACTGTTCATATTCCACTGAACCACATGTTCCACCTATTGGATTTGAGTTTGGTGTCCTCATACGTCCCCCGGGAAGGACGTAAATATATGCGACTGAACCTCATCTTCCACCTTTCAGTGGGTGAGCCACAACTTCAACGCAAAAAGTACTTGAGTGTCCCCAATCCCCCACAAAAGGGCTATAAAGGATATCGGATACCTGAATGCATGGGCTCTATATTCAGATCTTGGCGCAAACCCATTCTGCAGGTGCGCCAATTTCTTCACGGGTCTGACTGGTGGAGAGATGCACCTCCAAAGTGCCTCAACCCTAGAAAATGGGACGTCTGACGTCTATGAAAACAGCTACGACTGTATAGGTGGTATAGGTCCTTGTACCGGTACCCCATGTTCGGAGATACGGACGGGTCGACTCCGCCCGATCAGCGGGCACTTCGGAGCGAGTTCAGCAGCTCTTTGGTCACCGGAACGACTCATGGTCATCCGGCATCGGGACCATGACCGGCTGCCGTCCATAGTAACCAGACACGACACGTCTGGGACTGCCGAGAAACGGCCAGGGGTGGTGGTGGTTTGGGGGGGTCCATGATGTAGACATATATTCCAGTCCGTGGAGTGTATGGGAATGATTACTTTAGGCCTTTGTACTGTACTCATCTGTCATCATCTGCTTCAGTTCTTGTCATCTTACAGCCAATGCCAAGTGCAGTCATCATGCGGTCCGAGCGAGGCTCTCAGACCTTTTGTTGTCAAACCATGTCATCTCTCTTCATCCACCCATTTGGAGCTCTGCCACATAACGATCCTGTACAGTATAGATTCGACATAAATCATGTGAATGTAAGCGAGCTAGCTCTGGATCGGCATCTTTCAATTGGATGGAAATAAGCCTGTAATTAGGACTGCGATGAATCCTCTGGACCTTGCGATGTCTTCCTTCTAGGACTCCTATACCGTACCCCACCGTTGATTTCATAGCGCTATAATAGACATCTAGTCGACTAAACCATGGCTATAGATGGCTATAGACTATGTCTATAGGCTATAAGGCCTATAGACATACCCCCACCATTGAGAGACGACCGGTCCAGCCGAACTCTGCCGACCGGTGCCTCACCGAGCGCGCCACGTTCTCACCGGTCAAAGGCTCCTCGATGAGCATGAAGACCTCGACCGGATGAGGTCGCGCGGTGCTGCGTGCGGTCGAGCACCGCTCCGGCACCGGTGTGGTCGGGGTGTTTCAGGGGAGAAGATCCATGGGAAGAAAGGAGGGTCAAGGGTTTTGTGAACCTAGACACTTCGCAGGAGGGTATAGCCGCCGCATCATTTGTGGGAGGATGCTGGAATGTATCCCTTCTAAAGGTGCTGGTGGAGAAGCAGCAAGCATCGCCTGCGCATCGCCTGCGCATCGCACCTGCTGAAGGAATCCGATCGATTGATTGGACTGGTGGGCGACGTTTGGCTCGAGATCTTGCGGATCTTGGGTTCAGTGAAGACAACTTATTCCTGGAATGTAAAATCAAAAAAGGTGTGAAGTCTTGGGCAGGTTCTTGGAACCTTAGGTTCAGTGATCTTGGGTTCGAGATCTTGGATTCCTGGAATGTAAAATCAAAAACGGTGGCACTTGCATGAACCTGCCTAAAGTGGGCATGGACATTGCCAATTGCCAAGGCCTGTGACCCAAAGACATGCAGTCGGAATGCAGTCTGCTCTCTGAAAGCAGGACCCTCAGGGAAAGACAACACATTTAATCATTGAATTAGTACACTAGTGATAGTGATTCCATGTGATTCCCTTGCCGTTTTCGGAACAAATCAACCCAAACAGTACCAAACAAGGAAGAAAAAGCTCATTGCCATCATCTCAGTCTTCACATAGTGCTTCAGTTTTCACTCGCCATTTTGCCCCGCACTCTTTCTATGGCACCGTGCAGGATTGGAAGAAGGATTCCAATGATCCTGCTTCGGACATGCGGCCACCTCTCTTCGCAGCTCCTCCGGGGGGGTGTCAAGCTGTTGACCAAAGATCTGGGTCCAACACAAGTTCGGCCTGTCTGGGCGGCCGAGGCCTTTCGCGTTTGCAAATGAAACAGTAGGCCCCAGGCGTTTCGAAACCCTTTTGCGCTTAAGCCATATGCAGGCCTGTTTGCTGCTTGTTTTCTTTTGTCTCCCATACATGTCTGAACAAAGCTGTCCTGTACAGAGTTTTCGGAAGTTTCAAGATTAACTGGTATCGGAAGTATCTGAAAAATCTGGTTTCGCAATGTCCTTTATACATGCTGCCACTTGGTGTCGTAACAGCTTCCTAGCTTGCAGTAAGCTCAACATCGGATCGACAAATATGGATCCCTTCCAAAGATGATGCATATATAATTATAATGGAACTGCGATTTCAAACAATATTGCTTAAAAGAATGACTTGAGAACCACTCTACAACTTTGTTGCCTGGCCAAATAGAACAACAACCAACTCCTTCCACTATAGCTCGCTCCTGCCACGACGTGGCACACCCGGTGTCCCGCCTCTTGGCTTCGGCCCCGCACTGAAACGATGTGCCGGCGATGAATGGGCAAACTTCCTGAGGAAGTGCCTGAAGGTCTGAGCTGACTGCAGTGCAGAACGTACTGGGCAGAACTGCACATCGTATCGCACATCACATCGCTGAGCAAAAGAGTTTTCGAGACTCGGGTGAGGAGATGGGACTGTTCTGGGTGCTGCTTGAGGGTCTAACGGACTAACGATCTTCTGCTATGGGACAGGAGTCCATCCGGGTTCGAATACAGATTCACTCCCAAAATGCTCCGCAACACGGATCTCTATCAAGCAAAGAAGGTCCGATCCACGTGAGGTTCCCTGCCGGGTGCAAAGGCGGAGTGCTGCCTGAGACTGCGCTCGGCTGGAGGTCGGCTTCGAAGCAAAACCAGCACAGGTGTGCTGAGTATGGCCCTGAGGATGCCAAAGCCCGAATTGACTAGTGATCCATAGAATTCCAAGCAGTATGGAATAAACACCTGCTATTGAAGTGAGTGAGCAGTGAATGACTGGGTATGCAGTATACAGCCAAAGCTTGAGTCAGTTTGTCTAGGGCACCGTCACAAGCGAGCTTCACAGCAGCTGGGGTGTCCGACAGCCATTCCAACCAGGAGACAAACAACTCACACGGCCGTTGTCGCGCCTGGCGGGAAACCGCAGAAAGTCGGAGAAGTTGGACATCCGGGAGAGGACGATCTGAGGGGCGCTACTTACTACCTGGGCCTGGACACATATGGACCATATATATGGATATTTATTATCTTCCTAATATGCTGCTTGGCTTCCCAAAATCAACCACAAGTGAAGTTCCATAAGCGGTACACAAAGGAAGGCACTATGATGCAAATGCCATATCAATCGACAATGAACTTGATTTGGCCGGGCCAAAAGAACAACAACATGTAAAACCTGTATCAAAACTCTATTATCTAGGTCGCTATCCTGCAACCTGTGCATGGATCGCTGAGCTGAATGTGCCGTTTAGATTAACAAGGACCTTGGCCGCGAAGAGTGAGGAAGAAGAGCAAACCAGGAGTCACAAAAGGGTGTTATAAGGTGCCCAGAACATCGCATACGCTGTCCAGTCACCCACCGGCAAGTTATCGACCTACCATCACACCGTCAGGAGGCCTTCATGTCGAAGTCACCTGATCTCCATTGGACACCCCTTGAAGATCCTGTTGCAATTCACCACAATGCGTCAAACCAACCCAAATATATCCCCCAATATATGGAACCTGTCGGACACCCAAACCGTCCTGGTGTCTGTCAATCCAAACCCCCGCTCCAACAAATTCGATTTACCCCCGGGCCTCCATGGGGCTATTCCAATCGACGCTGTAGACTTCGGGCCTCACACCGATATATAAGATCAGCGTCTCGATAGCAGGCAGTGGACCAGAGGAGCAGGCAGCGAACCGGTAGAAGAAGGAATCCTTTGGTTCTTAACATGAACCCATTTGATTGAACATGGAGCAGCGGATAGCTGGAACAGCAAGGAAATTCGCCGCTAACCCCAGGCCATTCCAAATGATCTGTTGTTCACGATTCACGATCATTGATTTGATGGGTGAAATGCGATGGGATGGAGACCAGAGGTGCAACAGGTGCGTCGCGACCTCTGGAAGATAAGGTTCTTGTGGCTCTCTATAGGGATCCAACTGGGAGGCCTCCCTAATTCAACACACACCTACTTACAGAGGCTGGGCAAGACTTTGGTTGCTCAGATCGACCTCTTGAAAGCTGTCTTCAGACAGTATTTAACTAATGAACTAATTATCTATTTAACTATTTGATTGCTTAATTTGTTTAAGTTACTTTTGCGTGCTTGATCAGTTGCACACAGCAATCAATCGAACGAGAAACCAATCTAAAACTATCGACCTCTCTATTAAAGCAACAACAACAATTGGGGCCAATGACGTGCATGTAAGTATTAATTATCCAAGCCAGAGACCCCAGACAGTGCGTTTACCTGTCCAAGGTCTAGAGCTAAAGATGCAGCAGGTCCAGAGATCTAGACGCATGGAGGTGATGAAGGTGGGGTCGTGGTGATGGTGGTGAGGGTGGCCATGGTGGTGGCGATGAAGGTGGTGATGATGGTGCTGATGGTGCAGATGGTGGTGGCGATGAAGGTGGTTGGTGGTGATGGTGGTGGTGTTGGTGGTGATGGTGGTGGTGGTGATGGTGGTAGTGATGGTGGTGATGGTGGTGATGATAGTCTGATGATGGTGATGGTGGTGATGGTGGTGGTGATGGTGGCAAGGGTGGTGGTGATCGTGGAGGTGATGGTGGTGAAGGTGGCGGTGACCAGCAATTTCTGAAAACGAGCCACGTGTCCAAAAGTCACTGCACCTGCCACAAATGAAAGGATGTCCAAGGTATACTGTCTGTACATCGACATAAAGCCACTCCAATCTCCTACCTGCTACTAAAAGTCTGCCAAGTTTCCCTTGCGCCAGCCGCGAAAAATGATCACGAAGGCATGGCGCCACAACGAGAGCGCAGTCTCGAAGAACACCCGCCCGCGCCCACCAGATTCTGCCAGCTTGCGCAGTCGAAATGCACTTTGAAGATCTCGAGGTGAATGAATGCACTGTAAACAGCAGCGCATTGGCCGCAAACGGATGCAAGCACATCCGATCAGACACCCGTCCTTAACAGTTACCGTAAGAACCCCTAGTGTGGACACACTGTTCGGGGGGGAAAAATGTACGTTTTCAACTGTCTCTTAGGTGGCAATAATAAAACGGACTTTCTCCTGTACAATAATGAACTTCCTTCTAAACCATAGCAATAGCAAAACAAACCTTCTCCTGTGTAATTAAGACATGTTTGCCAGAAACAAATCGTTATTAAATTACTCTTTCCCCATTCATTCTAAGATATGCCCGATGACATGCCCTCATCTCCACCTGCCAAGTGTGTGTGGCTCTCAGCCGTCATTCATGCAGCATCATAGTATAGCAAACTGGGATTTGCTTAAAGAACAGGGGAAACAGATCTTCCAGAAGGGGATTTCTCCATGCCACAGGGAACAAATACACCACCTTAAGCAAAACCAAACAAAACAAGTTCTGCTTCAAACAGTCAGAAGCCCTCCATCTCGTCAAGTCACTGCCGCCAAAGGCCTTCTGGCTGTGCTTCCACAGCATTGAGAACTCAGTGGAGTACTCGCGAATCCAAGGGCGAATGAATCTCGGAAGTGACCGAGATGAGATGAGTCCAGAAGTCACCATCCAGTTTCCCTCTCCGATACCGAACGCGCATGCCTAATGGATGCCCTAGATGGAGACCTAGATAGGAACTGTGGGAACTGTCCGTTGGTGACCTTGGAAACAGCTGGTACCATGGAGGAAATACCTTTGCAAATGAGTGGTGCGAAAAGTTTAAGTGCAAAAAGCAAGCTCAGCCCCAAGGTAGAAAAAGCATGCTTATAGTTATAATTCTACAAGCAACTGCTTCAGTTCATGACCTAACTTGAGTATCCCAGCATATCCTAAGCAAGTGTGACCCGCCAGCCATCGGCATCGTGATCGAAGTACCCGGCATCGACAGGCACTGACGAAATGAAGGTCGTGCCTCCCACATCCTCTGACGGTCAGCTGAATCAGATCTGAACACAGACCTTTTCCTCCCTTGCCATCCAGAAGCCAAAGAAAAGACATCGACATCGCATTCCAGAAACAGCAACGGACATCCTAGTCTGACGTCATGACTCATGACTGGTTGATTGTTTGCTATTCATGAAATCATCAGGGAAGATCGTGGATAGCATGGCCATTGGGCACACCCTTGCTCGCTAGAAACAGGTGTTCACTCCACTTCCACTTTACTTCGAGAGTACCCTTGGGATCCGTAATATTCAATTCAATCCCTAAAGGTCAATGACCACATTTTTCTGGATTTATAGAAAACACTACTCAGTACTCAGGTCAAAAGGCCAGGAGACTGGACCTGGGTCCGGTCCTGGAAACTGGACCTGGATCATCCACCACTTTTGGCTCTCAGACCGTGGCCATGCCACAGCGCATCATCCGCAGTCAAGTACTGCCTCTCGCGCGCGCGCTCGCGCCCGCGCCCGTCGGCTGGGGTTTCTTCTTTTCCCTTCGTTTCCAAGGAGTAAGCCCATTCCATCAAAAAGAGGTGCAAACGAGCTTCGTATCCTGCAACTCTCTTGAGCTTCGTACTTGAAGATGTATACTTTCTATAGAGGTCATTGGAGAGTTGCCGTTTGAGGGTCAAACCTTGGAATCTTTGGGGGAAAAGATGCTCTCCATGCTCTGCCAGCTGGACAGATGATGTGCGACCGGTGGGTCTGCTGGTGGTTGCGATGGGTGCGTTTAGATTGGCTTCACTGGTGGATGTAGATTTGAAGCACTGCACTTAGAGCCCCAAGTAGATATTTGTTTCATTTCAATTTTGTTATGGTCGCTTCCCCCCAAAATGACATGCCCCGTTGGGGAATCGAGTCACAGGGGCACTTGGAGGGTGCAGCTCGCAAGCCCCAAAGAAGTAGACCGTTGATGTTCGTTCATGAAAAGTCTGACTATATGTGTCTGCAGTTTTCGTGGACCGTAAAAAGGTTACAATAACCTTTTCCACTTGGTGGGCTGCTCCACAATTCCCCCAAAAAGGTGATCCAGTGGTCCACTTTACCTGGTTATTACCAGTAACAGTGGATGATGATTAGTACAGGCCTGGCAAATCCTGGGCCATGACTGTTCCAGGCCATGGGCTAGTTAGGTCCGGTCCTACCCGTTTGGTGTCCCACCTTAGCGGACCCTGCCACTCATTCCCAATTCCCAACACCTTTTCAAGTAGCCTGAAGGAACCAAGTCTGGAGGGAGGAGAACTCTATATCCGCGAAGGTCCGAATGACCCTCCCCCCATGAATCCACTACTACCCTCCAAACCCTCAGATGATGTGGAGACCCCTTTTACGGGGTCCACTGCCACCTTCAAGGGTCATGACGACTGGACCCGCTGGCCTCTCGCCGTCCATGAGGGCTGGAAGAAGGCCGTACTCCTCGCACTCGCGGGTTCCGGTGCGACGGAGCACCGCTCGTGTCCCGTTCGCGAGGCGCGCCCGGGTTTCTGCAGGTTGGCCTAGCTGAACATCAGGACCAATCAGGACAGGAAGGAAATCAACATGAGCTTGGACTCAACAAGGAGCGAAGGTTACCTTTTGGATCCCTTTGGGGACTCTAAAGTGCACTTGCAAGCTCTATTCACAACATGCAAGTGACTGAAACCTTCTGTTCACGCGGTTTGTTCTTCAACAGCATTCTCGGGAAGAAAACGAACCCCATGTTCAAACACTGTTTTCCCGACCACTTTCTCAGAAGGTAGCTGGATCTACAGGGTATTATGGTAGAACACGTGTAAAACTCTTATAATATATACGTATTATACAAACTATTTCATAATTTATATATATATATATATAATATATAGTCTATATCCCTCTACACGTCTACAGCCATATATTCCATGCATGCATGGAGTGCTTTGGTCATTCTTCAACCCGAGACCGACTGGCACGGGGAACTCAGGCAACTCCCCGCCTGCAAGAATCCAGCTGCCAGCATGGCCTCAGGACATCCGGCACTGATCGAAGAATGAACAAATGCTAAGCCAAAAGCATTGCCCCCCGGAATCCACTCTTACCTTCTCAGGTTCGGTACAACTGGACCCGACGGACACTTGCACCGTCTCATGTCACTCATGTCTCAGTGGAAGAAACACATAAGCCTGTACCTGAGAAGGTACGACTGAATCCCTAGGGAACGATTCATGATCTACCAGCACCATCCAGATACTTTGGATGTTGGATGGAGCATACATCTTCAGGGGGGGTCGCTTAAAACCACCCGAACTGGGTGGTGCTGGTATACTAGACTTGACTTCATGTTGACTTCATGTTGACCTCATTGAGCAATGTTTCTGTATGACCAGGTGCGGCCAAAAATGAGATCCTTGACCTGTAGGGATAGATGATAGATGATCTATAGAAACAGCCGCTAAGCTGCAACTCCTGTTTTGGGCCGCGAGCTGCAAAGTCAAGGTGACATGACATCCTACTATGTGCAAAGTACAAAATGTACATATTACATGGAGTGAAAATACACCCCCCTCAGCTAAGGTAGCTTTGCTCCCGAAGCTGGACGCGGAAAGTGCACGAGGGCTTGTGCAGGGCACGACAGTGATGTCGGCACAAAGCTGCATGGCAGTTGTGGATGCTAGCAATCCACTGCCTACGTGGCCCTGTACGTGCATTTTAATTATTCACTCCCCGCCGCCAAAAGAAATTGAAAGTTTGGACTTGGGAGGAAAACCGCATACATATTGACAATGGATGTCATGCAATGAATTATGCTCGCTCAGGCAAAAGGGTTGAGACTTGGCTCAACTAACGCCAATGCCACTGGCTCCGACTCGAGCTCCAGTCCCACGAGCGGCGGTCCCACTGCCGCTGCTCGCCCCACTCGCTCCAGTTCCATGAGCTCCATCCCCACGAGGACGATGCTGATCCGGATGCACGTGGGCTCACCGGTGAAGGTGGCGGACCTCCCTTTGCCTTTGAAGCTGGAGTTCCATCACCTCCGGTAGAGGACTTGCGCTTGCCCTTACTCTGCTGCTGGCGCTGCTCTTGAGTCTGCTTGTTGACCACATCACGCCTGGCAGCGGAGAGGTTGTCGTGGCATAGCTGGCGAAGCTCCTCCATTGCGCAGTATTGGCTCATCTGATGCACACCGTCCCAAGCCAAAAGGCCACGATGGGAGTCGGGTGAGTTGATGTACTCGATGTACTCACGCAAGGAGAGGATGTTTGTGCGATAGATCACGCACCATTGCTCAGGAATGTAGTCCATGGCCTGTGGATAGCGGTCGGGCGCTACGTCGATGTAGGCCAGCCGTGCCAGAGAATGATCTTCGTCATATCCAAGGCCCAGGCTGACTTGCGCTTTGTTGCGCCGCGGGTTCGCCAAGTGAGCATGGCAAAGCCAATCCTGCCCCTGCGCTGCCCGATGGTCATAGCCCATTTGCAGCATTCGTTCCATGAACTGGACGTCATGCTCGAAGCGATCCTCGATGCTCTGGAAGCCACACTTGTCTGCACGCTTCATCCGACTGCGAGCGTCTTGGATCATGATCGCTTCTGGGCTCATGTTTCCACGGCCGCTTGCGGACACCACACGCAGGTTGAGGCCAGCCTTGATGTAGTCGCTGACTGGGCACTCAGTGCGAGCGAGGCCGGCCCTCGCAAGCTGCTGCTTTCGGAGAACTGAAAGTCTGGTAACGGCTTCCTCCGGCAGCTCGGTGTTGGTGGCAAGTTCGGCTGAACAAATGTCACAGTGGGTCATGCCCCTGAGGACTAGACCCTTGCATTGGCTGCATTCGACCTGGATCACCGTCAACTTGCGTCCCTTTCGAAGTGTTGGGGCGGTGATCGGCGCATCAAAGCCAGGTGGAGGCCCCGCTGGCTCAGGCGGAGCGTACCCGCTGTAAGATGCTGCAGGTTGCTCTTGCTCTGCCACATTCATGATGGAAGTAGGTGGAGTCGAAGGCGCAGCCTTGCTTGCAGGTGCTGATTTGCTGGTTGCAGTCAGGGAAACAGGCATTGCTTTTGCGGTTGGCCGGGGCTCGCCAGTGATGGCGGCCCGGCTCTCACCTCCATCCGCTGGAGCAGCCTCGGGTAGGCCAACGGCGCTTACCCTGGTCCAGAGTGTGGACTGGCTTTCGGTGTTTTCGACGGAGACAATGTATTCTGGAGGTACTGTGTCAACCGTCATGATCCCACCGGAGCGGTTCTGGAAAAAGATGAGACCGCCATCGACTGCTTCCCGAAGTGCAACGGTAAGCTGAATAGGGTGCTTGCCGCGGAGACCGCTTTGATAGTCGGTCTCCGTAATGCGACTTGCAGCCAGGTAGACATGGGCTCGATCGCTGCCAACAAACTCGCCCCCGCCTGGGATAAGGCCCTCCTTGATGATCCGCTTCCAGCACGCTGGCCTCGTGCGGTGGTAGGCCAAGACAGGGATCTCATCCGCTTTGGCGATGGGCTTCCCAGTGAAGGGAGCTTTGGCTTCTGGCCTGAGCGCAGGACTGCAGTACATCAGGGCTGCCGATCTGTAATTGTCCTGTGCGCTCTTGATCGCGTGCTTGCTTTGGCCAGCAGCGGCACGCATCTTCAGAGGCCATAGTGCCACGCCCTTCTCCTCGAGTTTGTGCCCTTCTCGAATGCCCAAAAACTCGAATCGGTTTTTCTTGTCTTTTGCTGCTATGGCGATCAAGTCTTTGACGGTGAGCGGCGGGGCACTGCGGTGATTCAGGCCGAAACACCTGGCTACCTCGTCCAAGTCTGCGTAGCCATCTTCGTCAACCTCAAGGCCCAGATATTGGTCATGTTGTCGAACAACTTTGGATAACTGGGTGAGCCAATCCTTGAGGGGTTTCGCGAAGAAAAGGTGCCCGCCATTGAGCTCCCATCCGCTCGCAAAGTGAAGCTGCAATTGCTTGTCGCCAAGCTGGACCACTTGCTGGAAGGCGCCATCGACCTCGGCCATCTTGTACGTGTACTCGTGGTATTGGTCTGCAAGATACTGAGGGCACACAACGTGGCCTTCGTCAGCATCAGCTGCCGGCGGCGATGAGGGTGCCTCGGGCTCGGGCTCGCCAATGATGGCGGCCGAGCCTTCCTCGCCATGAGGTGCGCTTTCTTCTTCGTGTTCTTCTGGCACGACCTCCTCATATGGCGATACATCCTCATCATCGTTGGCATCGATGTCGAGCCATGCCGCTGGGTTTTCGCCAGTTTCAACGCGATGGCTGAGTTCCTCAAGCGTCTGGAGCCGACCCTCATAGGTTTCTCGGTTGATGTCCAGCTCTGCAGCAATCTTCTCCTGCTCTTCCTCCATGACATCAAGGCGTTGCTGGAGGATCTTTTCTGCCGTGGCGTCATTTGCGACGAAAATCTCCGAAAGGTCTGGATCATCTTCCTCCCCTTCGGGCTCATCATCGATGACGGCCATGTCTGCTTCGGTAATCGGTGCAGCACGGTTTGGCTGCTCCGCAGCGACGTCCTTCTTGGTAAGGGCGCGAGCAGTGAGCTCGGCTGCGGCGATTGCCCTTTTGTGGCGGACATCGGCAAGGTTTCGGAGTAGCTCTTCGTATCGCTGATGTGGAGGGAGGCGATCATCACGAAGCTCAAGTCCACCGAGCGGGCGGTTCATCGGACTGGTGGCAGCTACTTCCAATGCGATATCTCCGAGAACATAGAGTCTCATAAGCAGGTGGAATACACTCTGACAAAATGAGAACATGTGATTTGCATTCTCGTCCGATTTCTCGCAATGCCATTGGTCACGCAAGTCCATGCGGATGTTGAGGACGTTGATGTTGACTAGGCGGAAGCGACACTTGCCGATCTGAGAACCATACACCTCATCCTGGAACCACTGACTCAGCCGGTTGAACCAGTCGCTGTAGGGTCCTTGCCGCGCGAAGCTGTAGGTCTCAGAATCGGGCGCGCTGATGAGAGCGGCCGAGTGCACACCGTATCGAAACATATCGGCGGCAAACCCGACCAGCTCTTCTTGCGCCTTCTCCTGTAGCTCCATGTAGTGATCGCCGTCAGGATGATCGAAGGGCCATGAAGTCTGGGCTTCAATTCCTTTCTTGCCAATGAGCTCGTTGCCAGCCCATACCACGCCAACCAGCAGCATGCAGCCTGGAAACTGGCGCTTGAGGCTCCTCACGGCAATACGGGCTCGTTTCAGCAACAATGGCAACTCTGCACCCCAGAGGCATTCGTGATGAAAATGCTTACAGTAAGTTGGACGATAGGCCTGAAAGTGATCGGCCAGATCGAACCTCTGGGGTTTGCGTTTCGAACCGCTAACCAAGCACAAGGTGGAATCAGAGATCAAGATATGTACCGTTTGGTAGTCTTGGCTCGTGGGCACACCTGTGAAGGCGGCTAGATCATACCGTGAGGTCCGAATCAACGGGCCCAGCTCCGGCTCTAGCCATCGGTTCTTCTCGACCAGGCCCGCCAGCACAGAATGTGCTGTGTGCTGGCCAAGGACGCCATTCAGCACCGCGTCCACATCCTCAGAATATCCGTCTTCGAGGTAGTAGCCAGAGGCCACAATCTGCCGAAAGTGCGACTCGAAGATGTCCAAGGTTTCCCTGCGCATGTCTTGGTCAGCCGACATGGTGTGATCAACAATGATCGCTGGCAGGGCGCGCTGCGCGACGGCGGCTGAATGACTTGAGCTGCTATTCTTGAAACAGCGGTGAACAAGATCAGTGTACTCAAACGTGTAACCTTCAGCACTCTTCAATGACTTGCCTCTACTTTGCCCATGAGTGTGATCATGTGTACACATGTATTGCTCAAGACATGCAAGCTCATGAAGATTTGTGCATATGTGCCAACTCTTACGCATAAGATTACCGTGATTATCTCGCACACCAAACATGCATCCATCGAAGTTGTATCCTTGCAAGTTGTGGCGTTTGATGAAAGCCAACACCGACGGCCAATGCCAATAGCGACAGCGACGGGAAAGCTCAAAGGCAACAAACGT